AACATTAGACACAACGGATACAAGGTTTGATGCTCCCAACAACCATAACGAACTGAAAGAGCGACACTCGTCTTGCTGACCATCGCTCACATGTTGTGCTGTCAAACTCCCGTGGACCATTCAGAATGTCAGCATAAAACGAAACAATAGGCCATGGCAACTTCTGGTGTAGTTGAGATTTTTTTTTTAAACAATCACGCAGGAGAGTTGCCGACTATATCTATGGCCCTAAAAGGGTCAAGCACCAGTGATTCTGAATTCCTCTTTGCCTTAGGCAGGATATAAGAAAAATCCCAATTTATCTTATCATAGGTTTTTTTTCGAAAAATGAACGGCATTGATGAATAAACATAACCAACGCAACGGATACAAGGTTTGATGCTCCACCAACCATGATCTGAACTTCTGAAGGTTGTTGATTGAAACTTATCGCTGTTTTTATCTGTCTTGCAGCTTGTAGTCGGCTGGAACTAATCATGATCTGGACCTCTGAAGGTTCTAATTCAGCAGTTGCTTCAATTTAGTGCCAGAGGATTGCTTACCACCATTATTTTCTTATCTGATTGATAGTTGAGCTACTAGGAGCTCGCTGAGTTGGGTTAGTGGAGGGCCTAGGCATGTACATATGTCTCGTGTGTTCAGTTTAGGGGGTGTTTGTTCCACCTCCTAAATTTTAGTCGTTGTCACATCGGATAATTTGGACACATGTATGGAGTATTAAATATAGACTATTTATGAAACTAAATAATCGATTGAAACTAATTTGCGAGACGAATTTATTAAGTCTAATTAGTCCATGATTTGACAATGTTGTGCTACAGTAAACATGTGCTAATGACGGATTAATTAGGCTTAATAAATTCATCTCATGGATTACTGATGACTTCTGTAATTTGTTTTTTTATTAGTATTCGAACACCCCATATGACATCTCTTGAACTTTAGTCCCTGCATCGTGATGAGAAATAGTGTAGGAGACTAGCACACTGGCAAGAACGTTGAGATGTTCCTTTAGATAGAGATTAATAAAGCTCTTATTAACCACATTTCTTTCCCAGTTCGGATGCTGGTCATATAAAGGGCGTACCTAGTGCAGAGAGCTCTCGCTCTGTGCGGGTCTGGGGAAGGGTGTCAGTGGTAAGCCTTACCCTCGCCTGTGCAATGCGAGGAGACCGCGACTCGAACTCGGGACCTTCCGGTCACAGGCGGTAAGACTCTACCGCTTGCACCAGGACCCACCCTTCATGTTGGTCATATACATGGATATAATAACTTCAATTTCTTTGTCCTGATTTATGTGAATATTCCATTGATTTTCTTATCGGCATCCTGTATTGAAGAGCTGCAGTCCAATTCGACCCAAGTGTTGCTTTCTGAATATCTGAATACTTCGGATGCTGTATGATCGTTATTAAGTTAAGGTACTATAGTAGGACACATAGATAATCGATGATGCTAATTGTTTACTGTTAACACCCAATAACAGCCCTACTCTGATCTTGGACTGAAACTGTAGACCATCACAGATTGGGGTGTAAGCAGTCTTGTGCTGATGCAAACAGATGGGCCAAACCTGGCACGGCCTGCAAACCAAAAGATTTGTACTCCTGTTCATTGGTGAACACTTTGAACAGGCTTCCTGATGAGTTTAAACACATCTTGGAAACCCTGATGAATTCAAGTGCAAGTCAGCAAATTCGTACGGCTAGTGTGTGTTTTTAGATCAGGAGGAACCAATAGGTAGAGCAGATCAGATGTTCATCACCAAGAATGAATGGCATTGATGAATAAACATAACCAAAAGTGCTTCCAATGGATAAAAGTAGATCAAGCACTGAGGAATACTCCTAAACGGCACCAGTATTGAAAACACAACTACTCCTACGCAAGTAGGCCGTGAAAACTTCAGGCAGATGAAACGGTTCAATTCAGGCAAACACTAGTCACAACGGATACAAGGTTTGATGCTCCCACCAACCATAACGAACTGAAAGAGTGACACTCGTCTTCCTGACCATCGCTCACATGTTATGTTGTCAAACTCCCGTGGACCATTCAGAATGTCAACAAAAACGATACAATAGCCATGACAACTTCTGGTGTAGTTGAGAGGTTTCTCTCTTTTTTTTAAAAAAAAACAATCAAGCAGGAGAGTTGCCGACTATATCAATGGTCCTAAAAGGGTCAAGCACTAGAGTGATTATGAAATCCTCTTTGCCTTAGGAAGGATATAAGAAAATCCCAATTTATCTTGTCATAGGCTTTTTCGAAAAATGAACGGCATTGATGAATAAACATAACTAACACAACGGATATGAGGTTTGATGCTCCACCAACCATAACGAACTCCAAGAGCTGACACTCATCTTGCAGATCCAACCACCGATCCGTTGTGAACTTGTAGTAGAAGCAGGCCACCGCTGACATGCCATGCTATCAAACCACCATGGACCATTCTGAATGTCAGCTTCAAACGTTACAATATGCCATGGCAACTTCTGGTGTAGTAGATGAGGAGGGTTTCAACTCATCAAAATTGAGTATATTTTGGTGGAGTAAAATTCAGTTCAGCATAAACACCGTTACAGTAGGCCACAGCAATTTCGGTAGGAGGGACTCTATGCAGAAACCACTTTTATGCACGTCAGTGCAGCGTGTACTTAGTGATAATTTTTGCACATAAATATGAGAAAAACAGTATATATATCTCATAGAAAGACCGGCAGGTAACGAGAGCTTCAAACCTTCAACCATATTGCAGCCATACCACATTGTTATAACTTAGATAGAATTAAACCATGAGAGATACTAAGAAACTACCAGAATGCTTTGAGCCTGAGGCTTGTATCAAGATTTTCTTTATACGAGTAATAGTTACAATTCACAAAAGGGCAATATGATCAAAATATGGAACAACAGGTTTTACAGTTACATTCTAGGTCTCTGAAGTTCGAGCCTTTTGAGTATCAGATCCTTTGAAAACAAAATCGTTCATCTATAGCCCAGGTAGATGTTCAATAATCTAAAAACTCAATGTGATTCTGCCAGACTTGGAAAGTTCGTAGACCGTAGTGGTTGAAATTCCAAGCCAACTTGTTCATGAATCTCATGCAACCTCTTCACTTACTTTAATATCTGAGCATTCATGCAACAACACCACAAGATCCTTTGATAGGCTTTTCATCCTATTTGATTCTGTAGATCCATCTGAAGGACGATTGCTCTGGCACATACTCTCATGGAACATCTGAAGAGCGTCATCTGCTGATATTTCTTGCACGGAGCTGTGCAGACCCTGTAATTTTCCTCTACACTGAACATCCGGCACCAGTTTTTCTTTCAAGCTGTCAGGAAGACTAGCTAATGCACTGCTTGGAAGGACCACAGATAGAAAAAATTAAAATCAGAGGGAAGACTAGAAGAGAATGGTAATACAAGAAATCTATTCTTGGAAGGATATACACCTGGCAACCCCGCGAACAAGGCCCCACTTGTAGCCAACGTTTACAGATTGCCTGAACCCAACATTGAAGCCTTCCTGAGCAGAGTCCTTCTGCCCTTCTGTTATACCATCCCGATAGCCCATCTAGAGTGAAATCAAAAGAAAAAGATTTTAAACATTTCTGCTATCAACAAAAACTGCAGAAGAGTAGTTAGCATTAAGAACTGTGTTCCAGATAAACTCTAGGGTAACTAATACCTTTTGAAACTGGTTCTGCCTGTGGATCCATTCTCTGTCTAAGGTAGACGCATGCCCATGAGAATCTGAAACATCTTCCCATACATCATCTTCGTCGACAGCGGCAACATCACCGCCATTAGCTGGGACAAAGTTTTGCATAAATAAATCAACTAAGTTCAGACACGAGATAAAACTACTGCAAGCAGTACTACTAACTAAGCAAACAACGCATGGTTATGAAAGCACACGGTTGCCCCCTTGTCAGGGATACGCACCATACTGGGCGATTTCGTTGTCACCTGATGAAGGCGCTGCTTCTACGCTCAGCTCCCCCATGGAGGCGGTGACGCCCTCCGCATCCCCGGGGCTGGCCATTCAGAAACTCCAACCTGCAGTGCGGAACGCCGAACGCAGATCTGCAGCACCAGCAAGCAAGACCGGAGCGCGAAACAGCAGGAGAGCCGAGGGAGAAGGAAGGCGCGGAGGAGAAGAGAGGCGCCGGGAGCGGAGGCGGAGCCGCCGGTCGGGGCTGCGGCACGGGAGTTGGGCGGGGGTCGCGGGGATGCGAAGCGGCGTGCGGAGACGGGAGATGCCACAGGTAGGGCTCAACCTCTGGGCTCCTCCTCCTCATGGGCTGTTCCTGGGCTAAGTTGAAGATTTGTTCCTAGGAATTGTTGGGCCCGCCCCGGGCTGCAGCCCCCAGCGCTTGAGCCCTGACTGAGGCGAGACCGCGGGAGGTCAGAAATGCTCACCGAGGAAAACGGCTACAAGGCGTTTGTTGCAAGTTATTACTACTATCCACTTATCCGTGCATCTTCATTCTTTACAAACTACAAAAGAACAGTTTAATTTAATATTTTACTGATGTCTAGAGTCAAATCACAAATGGTTATTCTCCGGAACGGAACATGATGTTGTGAGAAGTACAAATCAGCAACAAGGAAAACATAACCAAATGCGTAATACTAGGGAAGATTCGACAAATTAGGTGAGGGAGGGAGCCAGGGAGGCCTATGGAATTACATGTCTTTTGACTGCATAGAAGTAAAATCCTAACTGAAATCTGCAGGTGAGCAGCAATCATCATGCAGAGAAAAGGAAGAAGGAAAGTAAAGTATTGGAAATGCTATTCAAGATCATGTCACCAAATTCTTCTACAGTATTGTCCTGAGTTCTCTCCCCCCCGGCAAACAGTGTTGTATGGAGTTGTATATGTGACCTATTCACATGTGTATTTATACATAGCATCATGCTTACAAAGGCAAAAGGTTAATCAAGAGGGTTGGGTATTGAGATGACACTTATGCGTTGAATCTCACTAGTTCTGCTTTTTGTTTGGATACTCCCTTGGTCCAAAAATGGTTGATCCAATCCTCACATTCGTGCTACCCATTTCAATCTGCATAAATTTGACATTAGTTAATGGAACTCCAGGAGTCCTATCGTGTGAAAAAAAAAACCAATTTCGTGGTCTGGTTTCGATGTTCCTATTCAAAGAATGAATGATATATTACAAACCGCTTGCTCAAAGTCACCAGACATTCCCATGGAGAGTTCAAACTGTTCTGCTGGTATGTCAAGGGCCTTGCAAACTTCAAGCTTACAATTCACCAATGCCTGTATTCAAAGTACTTACAACAGGTTATGAAAGCCAACACAGATTGCTCGTTGTCGTTTGTGATGAAGTAAGACTGGATAAGCACCTTAAAATTTTCTGGTGTTGACGAGTAGTCTTTCATTCCTATTGTCATCAGACCTGAAAATATTAGGTGTGGGCATGCTAGTTTCACATGCTTAGCAAGGTCGACACATCTGGAGGGGTCAATTCCAGATTTAGCTGAACAAAAGAAAACGTTTAGTCCATGAACCTGCTATTGCAGAATGATAAGCTAATTATATGAAAGATAAATGTGAACATTGCAGAATGATAATGATTTGAACTTGGCCACAAGCTCACTTGTAATTTAGGGTATGCTTCTGAAGTAATAAACTGACTTCTCATTTAGCAAAATTAATTGCAAAACCAATTAATAGCAATAATAATAATCTATCAGATCAAGGCAAACAAGGAAACAAATAGCACAAGTGCTTTATCTGGGTAAATTAATCAAGAGATAAGAGTTCTGATTTATCAATATTGATTCTGCACTCACATTCTTCTCCACTAGTGTTCACTTGAACCAAAACTTTCAAAGGCTCCCTTCCCAAACTGTTGACAGCTCGATCTAGGTGGTTAGCAATCTGAAAAATGTAGACTCTATGTGTTAATAAAGAAATCCACAATCGTAGGTAACAGGTACAAGAATTTGAATCTACATAACAACTTAACAAGCGTTAAGTTATATATTAGTCTTCATCTTTTCTACAGACATGAGATAATAAATAATAAAAGGAACAGTCCTTGTTGCTGATTGCTTACCTTTTCATTATCTACACCCTCAACCATATCAAGATTTGGAACAGCAACTGAAAAAAAAAAAAAGAGACAAGGCTTAGCTGGCATTCTGGCAATACAAAAGAGAGATGATGTCAAGAAAAACACTATGAAAGAATTGTATTGGTATTACTCTTATCATTTTCATATACTGTACACTGCTTAGCAAGTATTACTACCAATTGTCATGATGGTGCTAAGCAAGAACGGCTTTCCAGTACTAACTATTCATTACAAGATGACGCAAGTGGCAAGCACTAAATAATCATAACATTTAGAACTTCAGTTTCTAACTACTTCTGAACAAACCAGCTTTTCTTCTTGATATACCTAACAGCGGTTTCACTTTGTTGCTCTGCAGGTGCCCGATAAAATGCCACCGGACATCTTCCGGAAGCTGCAAACACGGTAAGATCGAGCAAGTCATTTCACTCCATTTCCACGCGATGGATGCTCTGCAAGTGCAAAGTTGAAGAGCGAACGACGCAATCGAGCTGGAGACAAGATCAGGACCTGGGGGGCCTTGGTTACGAACTCCTGCACGTAGTTCTCGCCGAAGCAGCGGTGGCCCGCGTCGTAGAGCTGCCGCAGCATCGAAACTGGCTTGGTCTTCCCCACCGCCACAACTCGGACCGCCTCCGCAGCGCGCCCCGACCGCTCCGCCGCCATCCCCGCCCGCGCCAGCACGGCTCGCAGCGCCGCCGCGGCAGACACGGCCGCCCCCTCCGCCGCAGGCGCTGCCATCGCCCCACCACTCCACCAGCCAGTCAGCCACCACCTCTCCTTTCTCCTCCTGCCTTGATGCTGGTGGAGTGTCGCCTTCCCCGCCTCATCACGAAACGGGCCGGGCCGGGCCGCGTAGCCCAACGCACAAGGGGAGGGCTCATTAAAGGGACATACCCCGTGGGCCTTGACAGGTGGGCCAAGTTGTGGCAATGCCCATGCGGTTGGAGGAATGGGGTTGCGGCGGCGCCAACCAAACGCGTCGTGCTCCGGGGAGGCCACGTGCCCCTCGAGGCTCCTCCGGCCACCACGTCGCCGCCCGCCATCGACCACCGCACTAATCAGCTGATTCCACCGGCGGGAAGCTGATCCTCCGCTGCTACTGGGCCTGTTCGCTGATTGGTGCTGGTGTTGGTTTTTTATAAGAGAAAAATACTATTGGCTGGCTGGTTTGGGCTGGCTGAGAGCGCAGTGCCCACGCTGGTGCAGCGCGCGTCGGATCAGCTGTGTGTGTGAGGACGAAGAAAAATGGACGCGGAGGGGTTGCTGGCGTCGGCGGCGATCAACCTGGGGCTGGCGCTGGTGGCGCTGTCGCTCTTCTCCCTGCTCAAGAAGCAGCCGGGGAACGTGCCCGTTTACCGTCCCCGCCGGATGGCGACCGGCGATCTTGGTGCTGGTGGTGGCTTGCTGCCGCTCGGCCACGGGCGACTAACCCCGTCGTTCCGGTGGATCGGCGCGGCCTTCCGGCTCTCTGAAGAAGACGTGCTGCGTCGCCACGGCCTCGACGCGCTCGTCGTCGTCCGCCTCTTCAAGTTTGGGTACGTGAAGAGCGGTCGTAGGATTCATGAAACTCTAGAAGAGTTGAATTGAATGACACGCATTTAATTTTCACCAACTGATCTTCTCTTTGTTATGACTGTTAATAATCTGGTCGACGATATCTCCCCGTTCGATGTGTAGGATCAAGTGTTTCAGTGTTTGCTCGATTGTTGGACTAGTGGTCCTTGCTCCAACAAACTATACTAGTGAAGGTCGAGCTGATATCAGAAGATCGAATTCCATGGAACTGTTCACGGTTACCAATGTAACACGGGGATCTAATAGGTTAGCTCTAGTCTGCATATTTTCGTTGTATTTTCACATTCGAGGTGTTCCTTTCAGTTCGAGTACTGTTTCAGTTCATATATTCAGCAATGTTGGCCAAGAAAGGCAGGTCGCGCACTGTAAATTGCTCTCTGATTATATGAAATGGTGTTTAGTTTATTCTGATGTAATACAGTTTATAATGTAGCTAGAATCATGTTAATAAGTTGGGAAAATCAGAGTTTGAAAGGTATTGCCTACCAAGTGGAAATTGTGTTGACTTCGTAACTGAAATTGTTTATGTTGTGCATGACAGGCTTTGGGTGCATTTTTCATGCCTTTGCTTTATATCCTTTTATGTGGTATATTTGCTTCATAAGGTGAGTGATTTTGAAAACCTTTCAATCAATCCACTTGGTCTTTTTTTCTTTTTTCTTCAAAGATGTTGTTAGTATCATGGTTAAGGCCCAATAAATGCTTAACCAGTCTCCTTGTTGTTAGTATGTATAGCTATTCTATCCTTCATACAGAAAACTGGAAAACCCTGCATTTTCCCTTTTTAAATTAAGAAAACAGTATTTGGTGGCATGGGATTAGGTTGTTATCTATTTAATTATTATGCCAGCAATTGGAATATCAAAGCAGATTATTGCTCTGTAATCCCAAAACAAAGATTTATTTTATTTTGTGTCAGTTACTTATATCCGTCACTGAAAAGTGTAGCCTTGTGCACATTAACTATAAAGCTCGCTAGGCGATTTGGTTAGAGAAGTGTTGGTTCATCATTAGTTGACGCTACATTGTTGAAGCATGGATAATCCGGATGGTGTCATTGAAATCTTCAATTTGATTTGAAGCAGGAATACAGCAAAATTACTATGAGAAGAATTGAGCACTTGAAGTATCACTACAAAAGACATGATCAATACACCATTTTGGTTCGAGGAATTCCAACATGCCCAGATCATGGAACTTACGGGTGTTATGTTGATCACTTTTTCTCAAAGCATTATCATACATACCAATCATACCAAATTGTACATGATATAGGAAACATTGAGGCGTTGCAGGTGAGTAGATGAGGACCGTGATTCTGATTTGTGGCTGACTAGCAGGTTATCAAATCATAAAATGTGATCATATTTTCTGAACAGCGCACCAGTAAAATTATGACCATCAAAGTTTCCATGCTACTGTTTGTCACACATTCTTTCTTAGCGTTATGGAAAAACAACTGCAGACATTACTAGTGCATCATCCTTTTTCCAATGCAAAATCTATACAGAACTCAACTTTTTTTTGTTCAGTCAAATTAAACTTAGCATGATAGTGTTTTTTTATTGGCTAGTCGTGTAATCATCATTACAGAAGTTGGCATCCTCCATTGAGAAACGGATACAGAGGAAAAGAGAGACCAGAAAATGTAATCTTTTGGGACGGATTTGGAGCAAGTTTACTTCAGAAGCAACAAATATTCACAACCATGAAGAAACACTGAAAAATGTGCAAGAGACTATCCGCCTCCTACAGTGTGAAAATATGCTTCAAAAAAAGGTAATAATTGTGTATCATTTACTCCATTTGCTTGTGCCAAGGGTATTCCTTAGTAGTTTATGTAGCACAACAGACATATCGGTATTTCCATAAGAAGTTTAATATTAGTTTTAACTCTAGGAGGTACCTGTAGCTTTTGTCTCATTCAAATCCCGGTTGGATGCTGCCCAAGCTGCGGAGATGCAACAGCTTGTCAATCCACTGTCATTGGTTACAACTTATGCCCCTGAACCAACTGATATAATATGGAAAAATTTGTCCATTCCATTTTGGCGCATGGCTATGTACAAACTTGGAGTCTTCGTTGCTGCGTTCCTGCTAACAGTGTTCTTCACCATCCCTGTAACAGCCGTGCAGGGGATAGTGCAATTTGAGAAGATTAAAAGGTGGTTCCCACCAGCGAGAGCTGTGCAACTTATGTGAGTGCCAGAAACTTGAATTTAATTTTGGTTCAGTTGGCACTTGTGGGTATAACAATGTTGCTATATGCGAAATTTATTGTCTTGCAGACCGGGTTTGAATTCTGTTGTGACTGGGTATCTTCCGAGCATGATCTTAAATGGCTTTATTTACTTGGTTCCTTTTGCGATGCTTGGTATGGCTTCATTTGAAGGCTGCATTGCCAACAGCCAAAAAGAAATTAAGGCCTGCAATATGGTCTTCTACTTCTTGCTTGGAAATGTTTTCTTCCTCAGTATTCTTTCAGGTTCTCTACTCGATCAGATAGGAGAATCCTTCGAACACCCAAAGAACATCCCTAACCGTCTTGCAAGTGCTGTTTCTGCACAGGTAACTGCAAAGAAGATTGATGTATCACATTCTTGTTTCTTGAAATAGCAGATGCTACGGTGTAAACTTCAGGGAACATGGAGCATACCCTTATTTTTTCCTACTTCCTTGTGATGCAGTCAGATTTCTTCATCACATACATTTTGACCAACGGCATGTCAGGGTTCTCTTTGGAGGTTCTTCAGTTTGGTTTGTTAATATGGCAATTTTTAAAGGCGCATTCACTTGGACACAGTGAGGAACCATATCTTTATGGCTTCCCTTACTTCCGAGTCGTGCCCATTGTTTCCCTTGCAATATTGATTGGAGTGGTCTACGCTGTAGTTGCACCCCTTCTACTCCCGATCCTTTTGATATACTTTCTGCTTGGTTATGCCGTGTACATCAATCAGGTAATTTGTTCAGTTCACATGACCCATTGTTGTACAGATATCAGTTTCTTTGGAGTTTAGTATGAGTCATTCCAACAATACACAACTCTTCTATCCTACTTTGTGAATTCAGATACATACAACCTGTGGTCAATATCAGTTTCATGATGTTATCAATAGCTGGTTAACCTAGGTTGTCACTGATGGTGATTTATGCTATACACATGGAAGATGTTTATGAGATCACATACGATACATGCGGACAATATTGGCCCAACATTCACCACTACATATTCCTATCAGTAGCACTCATGCAAATCACGATGATAGGACTGTTTGGGCAAGTCAAAGCCAGGAGCTTCCTTCGCCACAATTCCCTTGCTTGTGTCGAACATTCTTTTCAATGAGTACTGCAAGGTCCGATTTCTTCCAACTTTCAGCCATCGACCAGTCCAGGTACATTGATTCCCTCCTTGAAGCATATTAGCTTTGTACAGTTCTTGTGTTGTTCTTCCCTTATTAGGTCTGGTGCTTCTACTAAATATGATTCGCAAATTGTCATAACTAACCTTGTGATCTCTCTTGGATATCTTCATAAGGTTGCCAAACAGAGTGATGAGCTTGATGAGGCTGAGGGTATGACTGAATGCAATGTGGACAATGCAATTTGCGCTTATAGGCCACCATGGATGCGTCCGACAAACCTGGAATCTAGTTCTGTGCAGCCTTTGAATGTTTGATCTGTTTTGCACGATAGAACCATGCACCAGCAATACTGGTGCTGATGTCAGTTTTGTTGTTTAATGTAAACTATGATTATTTTTTTGAACATCCTGTGTCAAAAGAAAGCACATGCAATAGATTTCATATTGACTGCTGCAGGTGTCGCCTTCGTCTGTCAACTCGTAAAGTACGCACAAGCATAGGCATTACGATAACTGGCACAAGTTCAGTTCATGTTTCTCAAAACTGCGGGAAAGAATTCTCTATGTTCCACATTTAAGCAGCCGACAAGTAATGACACAATTCGAATTACAGTATAAATGAGGCACTGACCTCCCAGTTGTAAATCACAGCACGAGATAGCAAAAATCCTAGCTGCCTGAGCAAAAATCGGGCAGAAATCCCTTGAATTTGCGGGAGAGTCTAGACATGCTGATATTGCTCGAGATGGATTACATGTTACAAATTCAGTGTCACGGAGAACTCTAGGTTCAGCATAATCCTTGTTTTGCTCCAGGTCACTGTGGTGCCGAGCCTCCTCGAGGCGGAGGGTGCTGTGGTGGCGGCGGGGGCGGTGTAAGGCCAACATTGCCCATTCCCTGCAGCAATCAGCAACACCAATGCTTCAGTTAATATAATCAATTTATAGTAAATGTGGCTAGATAATGCAGAAAGTTTAATAATACAGACGACTAAACCAAGTAGCCTCTAGGTATGACAAAATCAAGATGCAACATGAAGGCTTACCTGGTAAGAGCTTAGGCCGGGAATGGATGTCATTTGTCCTTGTGGAGCCATTTGTCCCTGAGGACGATTATACATGCCACCCATAGGAAAATTTTGTATGCCAGACGAACCTGATGCTCCTTGGATGTTTCCCATCCCACTCGGGAACCCACCCATTGGGGGTACAGTACCAGGAGGCACAGAACCAGGATGCATCTGATTTAGACCCATCATGTGCTGTGGCATTTGAGGCATCATCTGACTCTGTGAACCTTGCATTGCCTACAAATATTATAATTGTCAAATACAATGTCACAGTAGCTGTAATTTACCAAGGAGCACAAAGAATCCAAATATATTCTAATCTGGTTCCTTTCATGTAACATCAAATTAAACAGTGAGTTCACAGTAACATAGAATCATGCAACAGGCAGTGTTGTGGAAGAAAAGTGTACAGTGATTCAGGTTTTGGGGACTAGAAAACTTAGCATAGCAGTTACTGCATGTTTTCGAACCAACCAGTCAATACCCTTATTTTTTCTTTAAAAAAAGGATCCAAGGTAATGCAGTACTATTCATAAAAAAACAAGTTCACTGAAAACATTCTTTTGATGCAAACTTGCAATGGTTTGCAGACGAGGCATTTGGTTTTCGATTATCACTTATCAGTTAAGATAAATAGAGAGACAGAACACGTTAAGTAAACAGTTATGTCTCCCTCAGTTTGATAAAGGTATGAACAGTACCGTTGGGTGAGGCATAGGCGGAAGCGGTGGGTTCACTTGTGATGGCACTGATGGTCCACCCATTGGTGGAAGCTGGGGAAGAGTAGGCCGAGATCCTTGTGAATGTGAAAGCATGTGAGCTGGTGGCTGCAGTTGGGGCATGTTTGGAGGTGATGGCCGAGTAAACTGGGGATGTTGCTGCTGAGGCATCTGTTGATACTGTTGCTGCTGCCCAAGAAGTGATGGATGAGGACCTGGTGGCAGCGGGGGTTGCCCAGGTGGAAGACCCGGAATAGATGGCCTCTGCTCTCCATCAGATCCATCAAGAGACTGGCCTGCCAAGGTCATTGCAACCCCAATGCCAGGGATTGTACCTTCACTGCGTGACAATCCAGGAGCAAATGGTCCAGGCGTTATTGGAGGTTCAGGCATCTGGAATCCACCCATACCACGAGCACCAAAAGCAGAATGTTGGTCACCATAACCTGAAAAGGTGATAATCTATGCATTAGGAATTCCTTCTTTGGAAGGAAAAGGTCACAAAGCAGCACAACACACCATTAAGCACCTGTGTCTGTGTGAAGCAAGTAATAGACAAGAATAATTATTTAATCTAACTAAATAGTGATATTCGAAGGCATGTGTGTATACATGTACATGCAAGTGCAAGAGTATCTGTCTACTAATATGTTAATGTTTTAGGACCAAAACGGGATAAATAAGATGAAATAACAAGCTAAATTCAAATTAAAGGCAACCTTGCATCTGGCCATTGTTGTATCTATCACGGGTAAGATCACCAGGCCTGTTTCTACACCAGAACTTTGTAGCATGATCATTTCCCCCACTACAAAAGAATCAAAGTGTAAACGACTTTTAGTGAGTTCACATACAACTAAAGCATTAAACAAATAAGGTCACACAATGCACAGGAAATTGTATTCGAGAAGAAATTCAGATTATGTATGCATAACAGTACAATCTAAAAAACTATGCAGAACAGAAAAATAAGCAAGCAGCATTTCGGAAAGTGTTAAATTACAAAATTCAAAAGCAAGCCAAGTACCTGCAAAGTAGATAGCCTACAGGATGCCACGAAAGATCCCAGACACTAGTGTCATGTGCGTTACTTATTTCAACCTGTGGAGCTTCATGGCTGCCAAATAAATGAAACAGCTTGTTCATCAAGTTGAGACTTGCGACATTATTCTCACGCCACAAAAGATGTAAACAGTTGTGCATCGATTTTGGAGGGTGAAAAGAATTGAATAACTTAGCACAAAGTAGCAAACTCCTAGGCTGACCAAGATCAGTAATTTCAATAATGCTATGGATATCTTACCCGACCAACCAATGAAATATAGCTCCATCAAAGCTCCCACTAACAAAATATTCTTCATGAAATGGATGCCATGCCAATGCTGTAAAAATGAAGGAAACGAGTAACCAAATACATATTCAGTACAACCTTGGCAAACAAGAGTGAGCACCGTATTTTCCTAGAAAATTTTTAGCCACTGTTCTAACAATCATAGAATGTATGGTTACAGTGAACAAATGAAATGCTACATCTAAAACTTGTGTCAATTTTTGAAGCTTAAAATATGTGAAGGAACATATAAAAATCTTGACATTGTAACAGTTATCTAACCAGTGACGTCCTTAGTATGCCCACGGAAGGATTGCAGCTCTTTCATGGATCTAATATCATACAGCTGAAAAATGAATTAGCAATAGAATTAGCAAGTGCACCAAAAGTTAATAATTTACTGGCATCAGAAAACAAAGTTATTGATCATTTGATCGCAAGGATGGATTGACCCATCTCCATAGACATCACTAGAATTTTGGTTATAAAGTGTACACTGCCATCCGACAATTCTTTGAAGACAACAAGAAAAACAGACCAAGGTACAAAAGCACAAGCCACAGACCTTAATAATCTGATCCTTTGAGGCAGTCAGTACCCAGTTCCCATTCTGATTCCACTTCACACAATGCACAATATTTTTATGACCATGGCTGCAGATATAAATCATAATGTAACACAGATCTTTAAGAATTAACAAACTATGGAAGTGGCAGGAATACCGACAATGAGCTCAGCTCTCTGCCACTTTTTGCATCCCAGAGTTTCACAAGATAGTCTTTGCCACCTATGGAGCATAGAATTGAATAAGTTCCACATGATTGAACACATTGAACAAGAACAAACATATACTAACCTGAAACCAGTAAAGACTTTGTAGGATGCCAATCGACAGTTTTAACATCCCAACCGTGGCCTGGCTGAGTTGAAGGGAAATTCAGGTCATTTGACGAAAAAACAAAGTAATATCACATAATAACTTCAGATGATGAGATGTATGCCAGATTAATATTTGCAAGAAAAAATTAGCAACATTACCAGTCAATGACTTTTCCTCTTGGCATCTTGCGAAGTCCCAAACCTTCACGGTTCTGTCATCGGAGCAGGAGCAGAACTTCAAGTCTGTTCTGGAAAAACTGTTTGAAGGACATGTTTCAGCACACACCACACATTGAACATGAACTTTGTAGCAAACAAGAAAAGGTGCATCAGACAGATATCACCTTAAACCACGAACCGATTCTCTATGAGCTGTTTTATTCACTTTGACGTTGTTCATGTTACTTTGCCAATACCTGGAGAAGAATTCAAAAGGTTCAGCTGAAGGGTTAAACAATGTAGGAAGGTACAAAAACAAAGGGACGCGTACTTGATTGCGCCACCATCATCGCCCGTCACCATCCAGTTTTCATTGTGACTCCAAACCATTGATCTCACAGGTAGATCATGAGCCTGATTGTCAGGTTTCTCCAAAAAGTAAGTTAAAACTACCAGCATTTTAAGTCCACAAGTAATTAATGTGGAATACCTGAAGGATCATTTCAAAGTTAAAAGATTGCCCATTCCATAGCGTAAATTCACCGCTGTGTGATCCAGTGATAAGTCGACGGCCTGTAGGGGTCCACTTTATCCACAAATAAAATTGTATTATACCCCAAGTGGATGAAAATAATAAAAGTAGATGTTGATTGAACTGATGATTATGCTACATAATTGACAATAGTCAACGCATTAAAATAGCCAAAATTAATAAGACAATACAGTTTCTTGACAAAATTTACTTGGCTGGTACTAATGCATAAAAGAATAAAAGATCATCTGGAGCAATTTTTACCAAGATCACAAGACAAGGCTTGGATAAATTTACCAAAATGCAATAGTAATTTGCATGTAGCATTGCAATTTTGAAATTCTGACTAGTCATCAGTCCAGGATATAAGTGGTAGATTCTAATATTGTGTTATTGTTAATCATGAATGGCATATCAATGAGCATATTTATCCAACGGCTCTAATAAATAACTTCACAATACTAATTCGTAATCCATATGGTTGAAATATACACCTAGAGATGGATTAGATTTCATAGAAATCCTGATAGAGCTAGCTTCGCAGTCAGAAAACGATAATAGTTTTGAAGGAAAGCAATAAGATTTCAGTAAGTGGAAGAAAGGCTTCAAGATGATATTTTGCTGCAATCATGTAGGATAAAAGTGTCTCTCAGATGGCTCAAGTTTCTTCTATAGTGTATCTCTACTTTAAGAAAAAAAAATTCCTTTCCTTTTGCCACCATGCCTTCGTAGAGCATTTATTTATTTTTCATATGTATATATCATGGCATACATAAAAATATCACTTGGTATTGCATTTATGTATAATGAACAGCAAAGCCATTGCTTCTGAGAAATACAAGTATGTATAACAACGAAATGTTCAATGTGGATTATTGGGAAAGCAGAAAAATAGGTTTTCCAATACTCAGTTACTCACCAAAACACGGTTAATAGAGCACCGGTTCTTATTGATTGATGAATGTACAAATTTGGCAGCAAAACTTGTGGAGGGATTGTCTGGATATGCGACAGATGGTAACATCTGCAATTGTCACAGCTATCAAAATATGTTTGTAACAAGAAGTAGTCATCGAGATCTTTGATTAGTTATTAGGATTAACAGGATTTTCTGCGTAACATAGAGTACACTATCCATGCTAAGATTAATAGACGAATTACTAGCATGATAATCATTCGTATGCACTGTTTTATCGAACTTTGGTATTATGGTGCACAATAGTATTGTGTCCATTGTATGCTAGCTAGATGCACATTTAACACTTTAATCCATAAGAATTTCGTATAACATCTGATTGTTCATGGTTTCATACAGATAAAGGTATTTATCATAGCATAGGTACTATATTCTAAAGCTTAAAGTCTTAAACCAATCAATATTCATAGCATAAGCAACTACTGCTCCATCTTTTTAATATATTGCGAGTCAAGGAACATACATCCAGGACAGCAGCTGGAGTTGGCTGCAATGCGAATCTGTCCCTAGCGTCCCGCTGCCACATGCGAGCCTGCAATTGTACATAGTGGAAGTCAGCACTACTGATGGGAAGGAAACTGCAGGTACCAGATGATAAGCATGCATTACAAATTCAAGCCAAGATTTAAACACAAACAGAAAAAAAAAACATAAAGGATCAACATTTCGGAGCGCTCCTAATCCTAAATAAACCCTGTATCATTATGGATATCCAAACATAAAAAAAAATAGCAAACCACAATACCTGAACATGACGGACAACACTGCTTGTGTAGTCCACTGTTCGTCGCTGGACAGGTTTCCGCATCCTTTTAGCACCAAAATTGTCACCATAAGCTGCAGAGAAACAAAATTACAATGTGATTTGTGTAGTTATGATAAGATAAGGAGGACCAAAAAGTCTACAGTTAAATCACAAGGAACTCCCCGTATGTTTAACTTGTAAGTGGCAGTTGAGCTCACACTCTTGAGTTAAGACGGGCTGACAGTAATAAGGCAATACCTGCAACCTAATATAGGCATCTAGCTACTCTTCTCCTGACCCTAGAATGGAACAGCGACTACCAATGAATGAGATGTTTAGCTGTTACCGTCATAAGGAGGCTGGTGCTGCTGCTGTGGCGGGGGGCCCGGGTGTGCGGCGTAGTCAGACGGAAGATTGGTGGAGGACGCCGCGGACAGCTGCCGCATCGGCGGGCCGCGGTAGAACTCCCCGCCGCCGCCGCCGCCGCCGGCCTGGGGCGGCGGCTGCTGCGGCGGAGGTGGCAGCTGCTGTTGCTGCTGCTGCATCATCTCCGCCGGTCGCCGAGGCGGGGCTAGGGTTTTGGATCCGTGCGGCGGGAAAGGGGTCGGCGGCTTCTGGGTTCGGCGTGAGTGAGCGACTGGGTGAGACGATGGGTTCGGCTGTCGATGAGCCGAGGTCGAGGGAGCCTAGTTTCCCAGCTCGAGCTCAGCCGCTAGCTCGAGACGACCGACGGCGCGTGTTTTCGGATGGCTCGATACAGACTCGGCTCGAGTGATAAACGAGCCAATCTTTGAGTCGGGGACTCGGGGTCTAGCCCCGTCTAGGCCATCTGTGGTGTGAATGTGGGCCGACTCACTCAACTCAATTCATACGCCATGGAGCCCAAACATATTTGGCTTGTTTGCAACCAAATCTTTTTTACAAAAAAATTCTTACAATACTACCCAGGTATTTTATTTTTCACACAGATGTGCATTTTGGAAAATGGTATGACGGCTTATTTTTTAGCACCTCGATGTCGACAACAACACCGTTAAATCCCGAAATAAATTTAGAAAATACTTAATCAATGTCATTAGAATATATTTTCATAATATACTTATGTGGAGTAATGAATATTAGTATTTTTTATTAATCAAAATCAAATTAAGATAATTTAACTTTAACCAAACCTACAATTGTTTTTTTATTGTATATTTCTTGGGACGGAGGTAATAGTTTTGTATCACTAAAATTTTGAATATGCAGAGAAGGAACTAGGATTTTGGGTTTATACAACTCTAGTCAGATTCAACCAAAAAGATGACTTCTTTAAAGAGGGAAGACTGATTTAAAACAATATTGGCCAGAGGCGGCATAGTTCTCTCTATAAGTAACCATGGTGTCTATTACTTGGCCAGGTCAAAAAAATATATCACTAAAGATAATATCTAGTCAGTACATAAAAATACAATCGTTAAGAACTTTTAAATTGCTCTGCAAGATAAAAAATTTTAGTTCTAAATTTGTAAGCCATATGCGTGCGGAATTCTATTGGAAAATCATGGCAAAATCTCACAAATGTGAAGGATTTGACAAGAATAGTACAATATTAAAGAAGAAATTAATTATCTACTTCTTCTGTCCAAAACAAGTAACTCCTAAAAACTTTAAGATAGATTAAGGACGATGGCGAAATAAACATGTATTATTATTATTTTATTTTTTTGGAGGATATCTCTTGGATTTCATAGTTACCGTCTATATGCACCTATGATTAGGTTCTGCATCAGGAGACAGTGTCCTATGTTCTCGTAGAATGTTATATTTGAGATATGTTTTAAACATCAGACATATATTTATTTTGAGCTGGTGAGAAGCGGTGAGTAGTTTGCAAAACTCAGGAAATGTCATTCAAATGCCAGAAAATAATTTTGGAAAAAAGAATGGCAGTTACATTGTCATTTTTTTATATAAATACATTGTCTTGTTTTACAAGTGTATCCAGTTGTATATTAAGGCCCCGTTTGATACAGATTCTTGGCCGACTCCTGAATCCTTTTTTTTTTTTGCTCCACCTACCAAACGCCTCTGACCTGCTCAGATCTTATGAAGAAGCTCCGGAATTCCTGCTGAGACAAGGGAGGAGAGAGAGTAGGAGCTGAAATTTGTGGCTTTTTCCGGCTTCCTCTAGCGGTAGCGGGCCCCATCGCGGCCATGGGTCTCCTTTGCCCCGGCGTGTCTGCGAGGGCGACGGCGGTGCGTCTGCTGGACACCGGCGCCGGATCCGCTGGAATCGGGAGCGGGGCCTCGCCCGGCAACATGAGACGACAGCAGATCTTGGTGGTGGCGCGGCAACCAGAGGGTTGTGGGCGGCAAGCGGCGAGATCTTGAGGCAGGGCTAGGCGATCTGCTGCTGCTCGGGAGGCGCCAGGAGCCGTGGCCTCGACACGAGGAGGCGCGACGAAGCCGACGCACGGGGAAGAGGAACATGGGAGCAACGACCTACGTGAGGCCTATCCATGTGCGGGGTGATAAGGTAGAGATAAGGTAGTGAGAAAAAAAATAAAAAGAAATAAAAGGAGAGAAAAAAAAAGATATTCTAACCATTTCATCTCTTTTCATTACAAGGAGAAGCTGTTTTTGTTAAACTTAAAAAAAAAACAGATTCAGCTCCCGACGTGAATCTGCGTCTCGTTCAGACAGACAGTCAGACGACCGAGCACGACCCCCAACCCATCCCCACCCGGCCCGCGAGCAGTGCATTCCTCGGATTCATTCGGCCCTCTCCAGCCCAGCTCGGATTCCAACGACCACCGCTCCTTCCTCGCCCCAGCCTAGCATCGCAGCGCAGGCCCTGCGCCGCCCTCCGCGCACGTCCAGGTATCCTTCGACCGCAACCGCGCGCACCTCTCTTCCTCGACGTCGTCGCCTCTGCCAAGGAGTCGTACGTGTGAACTTTCTGGACCTCCGTCGGTTCCTTCTGTCCTGCAGAATCTCGGCGGCGCTGCCGTGACCCGTGGGCACTGAAATCCAGACGCTCCTTCCTGGGATGGACGCCCTTGTGTCATCCGGTCTGTGTCTCGGATTTTTTCGCTGACCGCCCGCGCTGAGCCCGCCCGCCGACAGTACGATGTAGAGGAGCGCAAGAACGGGAGGCGGCGTTGGGGACGAGAAACGAGAAGATGGAGGGGTGCAATCCCATGCAGAGATTTGTTGATAGCCCAAAGCCATATAACAGAAGGTACGTTGATGTTCTTTGCATCCCCGATTTCGCAACTGGATTGGTCGTTTCATGATTGCGGTTGTCGTTTTGTGCATCCATTCTGGTTTTTCAGAAACTGATGCAGCCATTTTTTCCTCTTCCAGGAAAGCGTGCGGAATGCAAACAAGGATGGATTCTAGTGACCATGGCGATCGCCAAGGTTCGAGAGCCAGTGAATTGCCAGGCAAGATGGACAATGACCGTGCCGGTCGTCAAGGCTTGAAAGCCTGTGAATTCCCAGCCAAGATGGACAACGACCATGCCGATCGTCAAGGTTCAAAAGCCTGCGAATCACCAGGCAAAGCCTGTGAATTGCCAGGCAAAATGGATAATGACCACCCCGTCCATCAAGGTTTGAAAGCCTCTGGATTGCAACTGCAACCCAAGATGGATGCTACTGACGATGGCATTTGCCAAGGTTTGAAAGCCTGTGGATTGGCAACCAAGATGGATACTAATGACCAAGTCGACCGCAAAGGCTCCAAAGTATCTGGGGTGGCAACCAAGATGGATGCTAATGCTAGTGACCAAGGCGATTGCCAAGGCTTCAAAGTATGTGGCATAGAGGCCAAGATGGATGGTAACGACCATGCCGATCACCTAGGCTCCAAAGTCTGTGGAATGCTAACCAAGACAGATGCTGATGACCAATGCAGTAACCAAGGTTTTGTTACATGTACTGCTCCTATTTCTCTCCCTCTGTAAATTGTAAGCCTGCATTCTTTGCTTTGGATAAACCTAGATTCTACCCTGTATTTGATTGCAATTATAACCTTTTTTCCCAATGCATATAGTTCGCAATTCCATTAATGAATAAAACACTTCAGAATTTCAAGTTCTAGCATTATCTGGATGCTTCTCAGTTATAATGAAACTGTACCCAGTTAAAAAAAAATGAAACTGTACCCCTTCCTTCTTTTTAATCTTATTTTTATTAGTATAACTAGCACCCCTTGAGTATAAAGAAAAAATACAAAAACTAGATCAACTAAGGATGAACTAGACGGCTCTATAAGAAATAAGCACAAAAAATCGTCTTGATCGAGACTCGAACTTGAGTGTCTAGGCACGACTCCACACACCGACTATGCTAGGCTTAGTTTTTTTTAGGAAACTAGGATTAGTTTCTATCATAGACAATCTGCAAGTTTATTTTATTTTGGCTATATGTGTTTACTAAATCAAGAAAAATAATCATCTTGACTAAGCTGGCCGCCTGGCCTCCTGCCGCTACATGAAAACTAGTAAAAGTTGTTGCATATACATCTTCCGTTTGTCATATACTCATATCGACTGAATCCATGTGTTCTCGAAAATACTATTGACCCTATGTGCTTCCATGATTGCTAACAGGTCCCTTTAAGGCAGCCGAGAGGTTAGATCATCTTCTAAACCAACCAGCAAACAGATCTTGTGCTGATTGTGGTGCTCCAGATCCAAAATGGGTGTAAGTATCCATCAATTCTACTAATTCTTTTTTTTTTGTGTTGCTGCATTTTATCCATGCATTATTTCGAAAAATAAAAAAATACCATATGTTGGTTGATATGAAAGAAGCAGTGAATTACATGTCCCTCTGCTTTACTGAACCTGAGCTGAAAACACTAAAATGCAAACTTGGGTACCCATCTCCACCTGGCCATTTTTTATTCACATAGACTCATGTGACAATTTTCTTGTGTTACAGGTCTTTTTGTGGTAGAAATATCTTCTCTTTATCAACGCAGTGAACAACCTGCATACTGCATGTTACCATTTCATCCAATGTTTTTTTATGTTTGCAGGTCATTGACTTTTGGTGTTTTCATTTGCATCAAGTGTTCAGGAGCTCATAGAAGTCTTGGAGTACATATATCCAAGGTAAGACATGTCTTAAAGTGTTCTATTATGACCTTTGGAGCACATACCAGTTCACACTAGCCATTTGTTTTTGGTCTCCCATCTTTCATGGTCATTATTTATTAGATTTGTTCATATGAATGGCTATTGGATGTGTTGTTACCATTTACCACTAAATACATAATGCACATGAATAGTCCTGTGAAATGTCTTTCCAACACGGTTGTCACCATGAATCACTCGAGTTCAGTGAGAGGCTGAGAACTAGAGCATGCTCAAATCTACCTTAGTTTAGTGGTTCTAATATTCACTGTTCGGGGTTGACCAGAAATCTGTCTATTTCAGGTGGTTTCGGTGAAGCTAGATGAGTGGGCAGATGAGCAAGTTGATATTTTAGCCGATTCAGGTGGGAATGCTGCTGTAAACATGATATATGAGGCATTTGTGCCTGAAAACTGCACGAAGCCAAAGCAAGATTGTTCAGCAGAGGAGCGTAATGATTTTATTTGGTAGACGTTAATTTCAATCTTTTGATGTCTTTCTTGACACATTTGCATAGCATGTTTCTTTATTTATATACATTTGCCAGATAAATGATCTTTCGCCTTCTTATCTGCATATATGCGCATGCAGGCGAAAATACGAGGCTCAACAGTTTTTGACTAATCCCCAGCTTTCATGCCCTCCGCGACGCAACGACAAACATAATCACCAGCCCCATAGTACTAGTTCAAGTCGACATGGTTTAGGCCTTTCATTCAGGAACAGCTGGAGGAGAAAAGAACATGAGTCCAAAACAGCAAAGAAAACAGTACGATTGCATTATTCCAAATTCACTTTAGTCTGCTTTAAATGTTGAAAACTATTTGACCCTCTGCTATCTTATAGATCGAGGTGGGTATGGTAGAATTTGTAGGATTGATTAAGGTTGACATCCTAAGAGGCACAAATCTAGCTATCCGTGATGTCATGTCAAGCGATCCTTATGTTATTCTTAACCTAGGACACCAGGTAAGCAATTCCAAATTCACCAAAAGTGCATCCGAGGGCTATGCAAAGCCTTTTTGTTTCATGACTCATGGTTCCTTTTTTTCACCTGTGCAGACAATGAAAACAAAGGTGGTAAAGAGCAGCCTAAATCCTGTATGGAATGAAAGACTTATGCTTTCAATACCTGACCCGATACCGCTGCTTAAACTGGTAAGCACTGTTACTGCTTCTCTTAAGGTGCACAGGAAATTCATCAGATGTGCTTGCTTACTTTGGCCACCAGCCTTACGTGCTTGAAACCTCCTGACAGCAAGTCTATGACAAGGACACGTTCACTACTGACGACCGGATGGGGGAGGCTGAGATCAACATCCAGCCGCTGGTTGCCGCAGCCAAAGCCTTCGAGACCTCGGCCATCGCAGACACCGCCCAACTTAACAAATGGATGGCGAAGGATGGCATCTGGATCCCGAGGGACAGTGCCATCTCCATCGTCAACGGCAAGGTGAAGCAGGTGGTCAATGTCAGGCTTCAGAGTGTTGAGCGTGGCCAGCTTGAAATGGAGCTCGAGTGCGTCCCTCTCACTCAATAGCTGTGCCTGCAGAAAGGGGCTGCCCACATCACACGAACAACTTCGTTACAATGCATGAGACCAGAGTTCAACCATGCGTTGAGGTTTCCATGTGTGGATTGTATATTTGTATCTGTAAAGCTGGGAAGGGATATTATAGGATGGAAGTTGTGATTTGTTCAGGTTTAGGGGAATGAGAACTGCATCCTGAGGTGGAAGATACACATATCTGGAAACTTTCAGCTTCCGGTATGTATTCTAATAAATCAGCTTATGAGGCCTTGTTCATTGGAGCTACTCATTTCAGTCCTTGGGAGTTGATCTGGAAGAGCTGGGCCCCAGGGAAGTGCAAGTTCTTCACGTGGACAGTAGCTCACAATAGATGTTGGACAGCTGACAGACTAGCACGTCGAGGTCTTGATCACCCAACGCAGTGTCCACTCTGTGATCAGGCTGGTGAAACAATAGACCATCTTCTGATCTCTTGTGTCTTCGCCCGGCAAACATGGTACAACATTCTGCAATATTTTGGACTGCAAGATGTGGCTCCACAAATGGTTGATTTGATTTTTGTGGACTGGTGGGAGGGTGCTTGCAGCAGGCTTTCTGGTCAAGTGAAGAAGGGGTTCAATTCCATTATTATTTTGGGAGCTTGGTTAATTTGGAAGCATCGAAACCATTGTGTTTTTGATGGTGGAACTCCTAGCCTAGCTAGGGTCCTCTCAGCTTTTAAGGAAGAAGCTCAGCAGTGGGCAGCAGCAGGGGCTCGAGGAGTTTCTTATCTCCTTGCCCTGGCTCCTACCTCCTAGTTCTTTTTGGGTCCGGTGGTTTTTTAGTCCTGCCTTATAGTTCTCTAGAGACACAACGTTGTTTGGGTTCTTAGGGTGGGTTGCAGACCCTTTTCTCTGTAACAGTTTTTTGTTTGTGTGTTTTTGTAACAGTTTTTTGGGGCTCTTTTCTCCCTCCTTTTTCTTCTTAATATATTGATGCGCAGTTCTCCTGCGCGTTCGAGAAGAAAAAAAAAGACCATTTTAGCACAGCCCTGCTTTGGTTTCAGGCGTGGCCCTGTTCGTTTCGCTGAAATTTGGCTTATGCTGATTTGTTATGAGAGGAAACACTGTTCGTTCGCTGAAAAGTACTGCTGAAGTAGTGCAGTAGTGTGAAGTAGTGCTGCAGAAGTCCAGCTTGGTTGTGTACTTCATTAGCCTCTGTTTGTGACAACCATCTGAACTGATGCAAATACTTTAGAACGAATTGGGAATGACGATTCTGTGTTGTATGTGTGGACAAACGAAGATATACCAGCCCCATTCCTGTTGAAATGCGAGCCTAGTATAGTATCTGATGGCCTGATGCCTGCATTAGGCATCTGCATTTTACAGTTTTCTGCTCTATCTATGGAGCATTTGCTGCAAGTGGGTGGAATAATCCGCCGGGTTTCAGCGTCAACATCACCAATGGCTGCTGTCCCTTTCTAATGCGAAGTCATGTTGAACTTTTTTTGTCAAGGGAATACTTAAGATAATCCACCAGATGCTCTCATCCAAGAAAGATTCACCACTGTCTTCACGTGCAGGATTTTTTTTTCCGAAAGAAACTTCACGTACAGAATTACTACTACTTCTTAACTGGAGAAACCGAAATTCGCAAATTCATTTGTTTAGATGCAGAATTCAGTGACAGAGAAAAAAAACGCACACACAACCCCACTACAAACAGGTTCAAATGCGTTTTCTACGGGTACAATTTCTCTCTGTAACGTCTGTGGGGGCATCCTCTCATCCTGTCCGTCCATCCAAAGCTCCAGGGCCACCCAACCGATGGCATCAATCACCCATTCACTGTCCCCCAGGCGTTGCTCTTGCGCAGCAATAAAGCCACCACCTCCTCTCGCTCCGCCGCCGCCGCCTCCCTGTCGCCCACCACACCTCAGTCCCAAACCCCCCGCCGCCGGAAAAACCCTAGGCGACCATGGACGCCGCGGCGCTGGAGTCGCTCATCCTGGACCTGCACGCCATCGAGGCCGTGAAGCTGGGCTCCTTCGTGCTCAAGTCCGGCATCACCTCGCCCATCTACCTGGACCTCCGCGCGCTCGTCTCCCACCCGCGTCTGCTCTCCGCCGTCGCCTCGCTCCTCCACGCGCTCCCCGCCACGCGCCCCTACGGCCTCGTCTGCGGCGTCCCCTACACCGCGCTCCCCATCGCCGCCGTCCTCTCCGTCGACCGCTCCATCCCCATGCTCATGCGCCGCAAGGAGGTCAAGGCCCACGGCACCGCCAAGTCCATCGAGGGCTCCTTCCGCCCCGGGGACACCGTCCTCATCATCGAGGACCTCGTCACCAGCGGCGCCTCCGTGCTCGAGACCGCTGCCCCGCTCCGCGCCGAGGGGCTCGTCGTCGCCGACGCCGTCGTCGTCGTCGACCGCGAGCAGGGCGGCAGGGAGAACCTCGCCACTAATGGGATCACGCTCCACTCGCTCATGACCCTCACCGAGGTGCTCGCCGTGCTGCTCAAGCACGGGAAGGTGACCGAGGAGAAGGCGCAGGAGGTGAGGCAGTTCCTGGACGCGAACCGGAAGGTGGCGGTGCCGGGGGCTGCGCCTGTTAAACCCAGGGTGCTCAGGAAGCCATATTCGGAGAGGGCGAAACTGGCCGCCAACCCTATGGGGAAGAAGCTCTTCGAGCTGATGGAGGCCAAGCAGACCAACCTGTGTGTCGCTGCTGATGTTGGGACAGCGAAGGAACTCCTTGAGCTGGCTGACAAGGTAGGAGCGTATTACTTTATTTAGTAGTTTTGCACTTCTGATGTTGGTTGGTAGAGGGCTTAAGACTTATTAAGGACTTGATCGATTAGATCATGACTTGATTTATACTCTTGGATGTGTATAATTAGCTAGCTTGTCAATATGTTAATCAAGAATTTTTTAGTTAATGGTGGTAATCTCTGTCCTCTGCACTAAGTAGGGATGCAATTTATAGGTGCAACACAAATTTGGCAGTGTGGCCTTGTGTAGTACTGTGCAATAGGCACTCGCATAAGCTCTTGATCTGTTAAGTTATTAAGTTTAGGTATGTGAAAATATTGAGAAGTGAATGTGCTGCCATATGTCTTCAACATTTGGCACAGTGAATAGTGTGTCCCGATTCAGTCATTATATCACAGCATACCATTCTGTCTGCTTAAATGCCTTTTGAATTTGCTAAAAACAGTCAAAGTAGTACTTAATAGTAAAACAGTTTTGTTGTTCTTCTCATTTCTCACGTCTTTTGGAAGAATGAATCCCCAGATTTGATATGTACATTTACTTACACTATTATCAAACTGTTTTGCAGGTCGGCCCTCAAATTTGTATGTTGAAAACCCATGTGGATATATTATCTGATTTTACACCAGATTTTGGCTCTAAGCTCCGCTCGGTATGTGCTCTCATGATACTATACTGGTTTTTGCTCCAATCCATATCTTAAGTTGGGTTCTTTTTTCTTTTTCTTTTGTTTTTAATTAAAAAAACAGATGTAGGTTCTTTTTGCCTAGATTGTTGTGATGATTTCACCTAGCCTGCATCAGTGCATTCAGTATCCTTGAGTAGGCACCATGCCTTTTTGCCTAGATTGGGAACGGTGGCCATCATTCACGCATTCCGTCTGTGCAACTGTGCGTTTGTGTGTGTGTGTGCGCGCTGGGTGGGGGTGGGGGGTGGGGGGGTGCTCCTTGCCCTCTTGTTTTCTATTTATTCATCTGTAAAGAGATCCTCATTGTGGTGGGAGTTGTGCATGCATTAGGAGGAGGTATGACACCTGGTGATATTAGCCTATTAGGAGGGAACTGGTGGCTTAGATAGGCTACTGGCTTGAGTGTCAATGGGGCGGAGGTGTGGAGCCAGGAAAGAGCAAGGAGGGGTGCTGTGCAAATGGAGATGTGCTCGGGAGGGTGCTAAGCCTTTGTTCATGGCATGACTTTGAGCTCTTAGTCAAGAGAGTTAGTGGTGTTTCTTTGGGCCAGACTGGTGCTAACAGCCCCCCTAGCACCGTTGCTAGCTCTGCCCATGCGTTGGGATAGTGGCCTATTTAAGTGTCTTGTGTGGCTCATATGTACATGTGCTAGTATATATATGTGCAAATATTGTAGGTGGCCTGCCTAGTCGCCTGGTTGTACTTGCACCTTGTGCCACTGGCTGGCCGAAGTGTCAAAGCAACTATCAGCAGAATACAGTGTCTCTGATGATTCGGTTATATTAGGAAGTATTCCCTCCGTTCCAAATTATAGTTCATTTTGGATTTGTCCTAAGAAGTTTACTGCTCTAACTTTGACCAAGCTTATGTTATATCTAATTACTTTCATAAATTCTTCATTAAACATGTTTCGATATTGTGTTTATTTGAACTTGTAGATGCTAATATGTTTTTTTTTCCTAAAAGCTTGGTCAAAGTTAGAGAACTTTAACTTAGGAAAAGCCAAAATGAACTAATTTGGAACAGAGGGAGTATGTTCAATTTCTGCACCGATTAGAAGTTTCTTTGATCCATTCAGTGTCCCCCTGTCATGGTTTCCATATTCCTTTACTTTCACTTTGGGAACAGTCTACCTATACCAAGACAATGTCAGAATTTCCTAAACCATTCTTTGTTTGTTTGATAAACTACCAGAGTTTTTTTGTCATAACAATGAGATGTTGCTAAAGGGCGGGCTTGGTGCAAGCGGTAGAGTCTTACACTATTTAAAGGTCCTGGTTCATCATGCTTCTCCTCGCATTGCATCATTACCTGGCTTCCTTTTCAGACCCATACAGGCGGAGTCTCCTATTTAATGAGATGTTGCTATTTAAGATGCTTAAATCATTACCTGGCTTCCTTTTACACGTCTCCTATTTAATTGATTCCTCACATTTTGTTGAAGATTGCTGAGAAACACAACTTCATGATCTTCGAGGACCGCAAGTTTGCTGACATTGGAAATACAGTGACCATGCAATATGAAGGGTGAAAAAGAACTTTAATATCTACATGCTCACTCGTATGTTGCATCTTTATATTTGTGTGCTATAATTTTTTTCTTGCTTTGGTTCAGAGGAATATTCCGCATATTGGACTGGGCCGATATTGTTAATGCGCATATAGTACCTGGACCTGGAATCGTAGATGGCTTGAAGCTGAAGGTATCTTATGCTTTATGTATATTCAGCCTGTTCGGCTGGGGTGAAACGATCGTAGACGATCGTAAATTTCCAGCCGGAACAGTATTTCTCTCTCACACAAACCAGCTAGCAGTACTTCTTCACGAACCAGCAACGAACCAGCCTAGCCAAACGAACAGGCTGATTACTTGCATGGCAACTATTAATACTGACTTGAATAAGTTACTGTTGCATATAATAATAGCTGATGAATCATTGTACTCACACCAACTGTTGTGTTCTGGCCTTGAAGGGTTTGCCTAAAGGAAGAGGGCTACTTCTGCTCGCTGAGATGAGCTCTGCTGGCAACCTTGCTCATGGAGATTACACTGCTGCTGCTGTAAAGATTGCTGAGCAACATTCTGACTTTGTGATGGGATTTATCTCAGTAAATCCTGCATCTTGGTCAGTAACACCATCAAGCCCGGCATTTATCCATGCCACACCAGGAGTTCAGATGGTCGCTGGAGGAGATGATCTTGGGCAACAATACAACACTCCTGAGTCTGTAAGTACAACTATGCCTGTACTGTCTGTTTGTGTGGCTACTGGAATATTGGTGTTTATTTACACATCTTAATGCTTTTAGTTTGTTATACCTGTGCACATCGTTGCAAAATTTAAATTTGGTAACATCACTACATTATACAATTTGCAAAGCATCAGTTTTGTTAGTAGGCAGGTTTTCCTTTGACCCATGTGGAAATATATTTAGATCATAATGGCCACAGCCATTAAAAATCTGTCATTTTGTCTAGTACCAAAATTTTACTTTACATATTGTTGGAGCTGTGTTGATATCTATTGTAGCATGGACCAATATTGCTGCTGTGAGACTATTCGCCTTTTGAAAAGTTCAAATCAAATCTTTACATATGCTTCAGTTGGAGGTTTTCTTGCCTTCAGCGTTTGACAATCTGAGCACTTATTTTTTCTCGTAACGTTAGCATTCCCTGATACATCATGGATTTTGCAATTCAGGTGATAAACTACAGGGGCAGTGACATAATTATAGTTGGACGTGGGATTATAAAGGCTAGCGATCCAATGAAGACGGCATGGGAGTACCGCTTGCAAGGGTGGCAGGCATACAAGAACAGCTTGCTATGAGGGGGGCGCCGTGAGCATTCCAAGTATAAGGGCAAATCCAGGCGATTGGCGCAATAAGAGCATGCGGAAAGGTCCCCCTACAGTTGAGTCAGGACCTAATTGCAATCAGACTCACTGCAGAGGAGACTCATCCAGAGCATACTACATCATCGTTTGTGTTAGAATAATTTCCCCTGGTTCACTCCGCTCTTGTTGATTGAGTTATTAGGCATTGTGATGCCTGTGCTGGGTTAGATCGTCTTGTTGCCGCTCTGGGTTAGCTCCGGACTCCCGAGTAATGTGATGCTTAACTCGGCCTTCGCCTAATGCTTTTCACCTCCCACTCCCAGTGCTTCTGTGGTGACAATGCTTGTCGCCTGAACCTGAACCGGGTTGGTAGGCGGTAGTAAGGATGGCAACGAGGATGTACCCGTCGGTATCGCCGGAACGTTCTCTTTCTGGCATCCTATTCGCCTTCTCATTAAGCTAGATTTTTGTCCATCCTCCCACTCCCAGTCCTTCTGGATGGTTGAACTTTGTAATCGGAGATGCTTTCTTCACACAGGTATAAGCCTGAACCTGAACCGGGTTGGTAGGCGGTAGCCACTGCCGCCGCGATTGCTTGATGTCTGTCTTCAGCCAGAGATTCCGCTGCAAAAAATACTACCTCCATCCTTAAAAAAAAATGCAACTATAAGTCGGGTATGGATTCTTGCCCATTTAGATGCCCACGGGTAAAAAGATATGATCCCATCCCCGTCCCCTAATGGATCAAATACCCATCGGGTATTGGGTATCGGTAGTTCACGTTTGATTAGATTTTTTTAAAATAATATTCATATTTATAAAATTAATTTATTATAAAAAAGTATTCATTTGATTAAGTTTTTTTAATAATAATATTTATATTTATTATAAAATTATAAATTATTATATAATTTTATTTATATTATAAATATTTATATTTTTTATTTATAATTGGTTAAAATTGATATATCAACACGTAGCACTGGAATTGCATTCCTTGGAGGCGGATGGAGTACTTTTCACGCTTGCCGCTTGTGCAGATTCCGCTGCAAAGACTTGCCACGTGCGGGTGGCGCGTCGTCGTTCTCGCTTCTCGGTTCTCGCACGGTCGACAGGCCTCAACTGCCGTTGGCGCTGTCCGCAGCAATCTTCTCCGGGACGCCTCTGCCGTTGGCGCAGTCCGCTTCCCCGGGACGCTTCTCTCTGGTGACTCGGGGTCTCGGACATCGCGATCCCGACGACCGACGAGCTAGCTTGCTTGTCGGCTTGACTGTGGTAGAAGAGCATTTCTACAAGTAGTAATCATTTCCATAAAGCCCTTGTGTAGTTGCCGCGCCGCCGGAATCACTGCAGCGTGGTAATAATTGTTTAATTGTTGATTAATTAGGTTCAAAACGTTCGTCTCGTAAAGTACAACCAAACTATGCAATTAGTTTTTGATTTCATTAATATTTAGTATTTTATACATATACCATAAATTTGATATGACAAAAAATTTTCTTTTTATTTAGTACCAAAGTTTAGATTTTGGATGACCTAACAAGGCCAAAGAAAAATGTCGAGACAAGGACGGAAGTAAATGCGACTTGTGGTTGCGGTGTTCATGGGAATCATGCCAAACGAGATAAAGGTTAATTTGCGCGCTCTTCGCTCGATTTATAAGCAGTTTTTTTTTAGTCAATGAATAACTAATAATATTTTTCTCTCTTAATAAATCAGTCAATAGTATTTTTAAATATGACTTATCAGCCAAACGTACGGGCATTAATTTCTCAGTAGAATTTTCAAAATGAATTTTTGCGCTTTGATTTCTCAGTAGGATTTTCAGAATGACAGCCTGTTCATTTAGCTGTGATTTATCGTAAACGATCGTAAATTTTCAATCAAAACGATATTTTTCTCTCATAGAAATCCAGCCTAACTTCTTCTTCACGGACCAGACCGATACAAACCCGCCAACCGGCCTGGCTGTGGATTGTTGCGCTTGAGCGACCGGGCGCTGCCTTTCTTCCCCGCTAGTCTGTAGCCTCCGCTCGCTCGCACAGCACAGTCAGCCACTACCCCACTATACCCACGCTCAGACAGTCAGACAGGCGCAAACCCCGCCCACCAACACCATGGACGCCGCCGCCAAGGAGGCGCTGATCCTGGACCTGCACGCGGTGGAGGCCGTGAAGCTGGGCACCTTCGTGCTAAAATCCGGGATCACCTCCCCGATCTACCTGGACCTACGCGTGCTCGTGTCCCACCCGCGGCTGCTCGCCTCCGTCGCGTCCCTCCTCGGCTCCCTCCCCGCCACGCGCCCCTACGACCTCCTCTGCGGCGTCCCCTACACGGCGCTGCCGTTCGCGGCCGCGCTCTCTGTCGCCGCCTCCGTGCCCATGCTCCTGAGCCGCTACGACACCAAGGGCGTCGAGGGCGCCTTCCGCGCCGGCGGCGGCCAGACCGTGCTCATCGTCGAGGACCTCGTCACCAGCGGCGCGTCCGTGCTCGAGACCGTGGGCCCGCTCCGCGCCGAGGGGCTCGTGGTCGCCGACGCCGTCGTCGTCATCGACCGCGAGCAAGGTGGGCGGGAGAACCTCGCCGCCAACGGGGTCGCGCTGCACTCGCTCATGACCCTCACGGAGATGCTCGCCGTTCTGGTGAGGCACGGGAGGGTGGGCGAGGAGAAGGTCGCCGAGGTCAAGCGGTTCCTCGACGCCAACAGGAAGGTGGCGGTGCCTGCTGGACCGCCCAAGCCGCCGGCTACTGCTAGGAGGAAGTCGTTTGCGGAGAGGGCAGGGATGGCCACGAACCCCATGGGGAGGAAGCTGTTCGAGGTGATGGAGGCGAAGCAGAGCAACTTGTGCGTTGCGGCGGATGTTGGGACAGCCAAGGAGCTACTTGAGCTTGCTGACAAGGTATTTCTATTGTTGATATTTTTTTTTCACTTGCGATGCCTTTCTAGTATTTGCTAACAGTGGTTTAATTTGTTCGCCCCACTTGTGTAGGTTGGCCCAGAGATTTGTATGTTGAAAACTCATGTTGATATCTTGTCTGATTTTACACCAGATTTTGGGCCCAAGCTTCGCACAGTATGTTCTCTTCTGACAGCATCTTTCTTATCTTCTCTTTTGTTGCATTACTGATCATCATTCTTGTATTGGATGACATGTTTTGATTTCTATGTTCACGAAAAGGATGATAGTGTCCATAATAACCCAGTTGGACTTCTGAAGTTGTACTTTGTCTGTCAGAAATCAGATGTCGCTCCTCTCATTATCAGTTGTACTGAAAGACAAAATTCCTATACCAGACCAATCTACTTGGTTCTTTAGCTTGATTTTATTTTATTCATTACTAGAGGTGTTTTGGGTGTTCCTGTTCCAATTGCTGAAGCTATACTCTGCATCTGGTTACTGCATAGCTTACTCAGTATTGCACTGATTCTTATCTTTCAATTGAAGATTGCTGGGAAGCACAACTTTCTGATCTTTGAAGACCGCAAGTTTGCTGACATTGGGAACACAGTAATTATGCAATCTGAAGGGTGAGAAAAAGGAATTGTAAACTATTTATCTTTTTTTCCTTTCTATACATTTGTGTGATATACTTAGACTTTTTACTTTGTTTCAGAGGTATATTCCGCATATTAGACTGGGCGGATATTATTAATGCTCATATAGTTCCTGGACCTGGGATTGTAGATGGTTTGAAGCTGAAGGTACTTTATGACATATATATACATAGGCCTTACACAACTACTGAGTTAAAGATACTAGTTAATGCTGCAGCTGCTAATAGCTCATACATTGCATTGCTCACAGTAACTGTTGTGTTCTGGCATTGAAGGGTTTGCCTAAAGGAAGGGGCCTACTTTTGCTTGCTGAAATGAGCTCAGCTGGCAACCTTGCTTATGGAGACTACACTGCTGCGGCTGTAAAGATTGCCGAGCAACATCCTGACTTTGTAATAGGATTTATATCAGTGAATCCTGCATCTTGGTCACTAGCACCATCGAGCCCAGCGTTTATCCATGCCACTCCTGGAGTTCAGATGGCTGCTGGAGGAGATGCCCTTGGGCAACAATATAACACTCCCTTTTCTGTGAGTGCGCTTTTGCTATTCGATTCTCGTGTGACGGCTCACTGCTGTGGTGTTTTGTTCAGAAATCTTCAAAGTTGTTATATATCTTCAAAATTGCTAGGTTAGATTAGTTATACCTAATACAGCGGTGCCAGTTCTTGAAAATTTTAAATAAAACATGGCATCACCTTAAAAGGTTGGTATCAGTTTGACAATATGAAAGTAAATGTAGATAATATTGGCTATAAGTATTATAATATATACTTGCACTGCTGAGTGCTTCTATATTTAATTGATGACAGTGGTGCAGTGCTGCAAACAAACATCAACATAACTTCCGTATTTCTGGTTTATTAAAAGAATAGATATTGGATGTGTTTGTGTTCGGAATATAGATACCCCCTTTAACTTGCAAACTGAATAATAATTTGTTTCTTCTTTATTTATATATTGAGACTTTGTCAGTAGGATGTCATAAGACTAGCCTAGTTTTTCTTTGTTCTTTACTTGAGTGATATGAACTTCTGGCATGAGATTAGTGCTATTCAGCGGCGGATCCAGGAAATATTTTAGGGGGGGCTGAACAACACTGCTGCTCGATCTTAAGTCTCAGCCCCCCCTACACTATAGAACTTTGCCTAAAAACTCATAGAGGCTCTACAGTAATTTGCACTGTTTCGGTATGGGTAGGGGGGGCTTGAGCCCCCCCCCCCACTGCTGGATCCGCCCCTGGTGCTATTCAAAACAAATAATAAACTTGATAGTTGCATTTAACTGTAAACTGTACCGTATGTTTTGATTCACACAAAAATTATCCCTCTCAAACTTTTTGTGTGCCTTGGCATATCATGAAGACATGAACTGTGTGCTTGAATGTTGAATTATCTTGTGGCCCACTCTCTTTGATGTCTGCGTCATATCATAATCTTTTCTTTTCATTTTTAATCGGGTGATTTTGCTTGCTAATTTAAGTGGATATACGTTGGTAGGAAATTTCAATTGTATTCGTTTGGGTCTGATTTCTGAAAGCTTCAGATTTTTTTTTCTTTCAAATGCATTACACTGTTCTATGAGCTTTTCTGACTTGCAACACTGTTGTGTGATACCAGGTCATAAGCGATAGAGGCAGTGATATAATTATAGTCGGACGAGGGATTATAAAGGCCAGTAACCCTGCAGAGACCGCGAGGCAGTATCGCATCCAAGGATGGCAGGCATATCAATCCAGCTTGTCTTGAGGAACGTAACCGGGGCCCGGAGGGCATTCAGGTGACTGTTGATGTAATAAGAGTATGCCCCATCTATGCATGCAACTGCGTTTCACCTGCCCATCATTCTCACGCAATGATTTCGGTAATTATTCTCACTGAGTCACTGTACCCCCGGATGCTAGAATTTAAAATAAGGGAATGCCAAATTGTAGCTGAACTTTTCATATGTATGTCTCTCATTGGCGATTGGTGATAGTACTAGCTTCTTTTTTTCGCATTTCGACCGAATTTTATTCATGGGACTTCCACATTTCCTTACAAATAGGCAGGCGCTTCAAATAACTAGAAAAATTTATGTAGCTGACAGCTCGAATAGCTCAGTTGCATGCAGCTGTGACTCACCATGCATATGCACATGCACATACATACACTAGCTAAAGATCAATTACAATTCCACGGGAAATCAGTACCTGCAACCGAGAGCCAATACGATCCAGACTATTAATGAACACTTCTATGTAATAATGTCAGCAGTCAGCACATGTTTGTGTACTTGCTACCATTGCTAAACCATAAACCATCCTTTGCAAGGGTGGCAAACCATTTGTGTGTATGACAATGTACTCATAATCGCCTTGTTTATTTGGGCTTGTTTGGCTGATAAACCATGACTAAAAGTACTGTTGGCTGATTTGGTGTGAGAGAAAAATATTGTTCGTTGGCTGAAAAAAATACGGCTTATAAGCCAAACAAGCCCAAACGAACAGGACGAATAACTATAACTATGTAGCTTTAGCAATTGATAATAACTTTCCCTCAAACACATAACAGATCACAAATTCAACATATCAAACCTACGCGTGCAAGGGCACGCGCCAGCCACTAGTATAAGATGGGTTATTGTACACTGTGCAGTAGTGTGCAAATACGAGGTCTCCGGCGGTGAGAGGATCAGTTAACAAGCCATGCAACAACACTAGAGTAAAAATCAAGCAAATATATTATGTTGGGTGATACAACATTAATGACAATTGAGGTTTACAGTACTAGTATGTTACTTGCTAGCAGCCGAAAGTTGTGGAAAAAAAATTCCACTAAGAATGTCTTTCCAGTACCAAGAGTTTTCACCATAACGTGTAATTCATGGTGAATTCAAGAATTGGAAACCTATATGTCCAGATTAATTTTGAATGTCAGAAGGAACACAAACATCTAGATAGAATTTCGAATGCCAAAAACCAGTGCAACAAGAAAAGTTTTTTTTTATATCTCATAACAAGAAAAGTTCGATGCAATCTTCGCCTTTTGCTTCAGTCAGGCCTCGCCGGACTCGGGAACGAGAAATCCAGGCTCCAGCCCAGAGTTCAGATCGAAAATAAAAAAGGGAAGCCCAAAATAGGCCCTAACCGAAAAGCCCACGGTCCACACAGTCCACACGCAGTAACCTAAGCCCGAGAGACCGACTGGCCGAGATCGATTCGTCCGCCGCGGCGCCGACGCCGCACATGGCTGACGACGACCATCGCCGCCACTTCCCCAGCGAGGACCGCCTCAGCAGCCTCCCCGACGAGCTCCTTCACGTCATCCTCCTCCGCCTTGGCTCGACCTGCGCTGCCGCGCGCACCAGTGTGCTCTCCCGCCGCTGGCGCCACCTCTGGGCCGACGTGCCCGAGATCGTTCTCGTACGCGGCCCCGACGCGCCGCCGGACTCGTTCCACGACGTCGTCGATGCCACCCTCGACGCCCACGCCGCGTCAACTCTCGAGCGCCTCCTCATTTGCGTCAGCGACGCTTCTGAGTCCATCACGAGCGGACGCGCCGCGCCGTGGCTGCGTATCGCGGCGGAGCGCGTGGCGGGCGCGCTCCTCCTCCTCGTCCCTCCGCGTCTGTCATCCCTGCCCCCCGTCGCCGTGCAGGAGCTCGAGCTCCCCGCGTGTGTCCGTGCCAAGACGATCACGTTCAAACTCCAGGACATATGGCTTCTGCGGCCCGCCCCGGCCGGCGGCGTGTTCACGGCGCTGACCGCCCTGACGATTCTCTACGGCCGCATGGAAGGCAGCGAGCTCACAGCCCTTGTGTCCACGCGGTGCCCGTGCCTCAAGGACGTCAGGCTCCGCCTCACGTTGGTGGATGCCTCAGACGTCTCCATTCGCTATGACACGCTGCGCTCGCTGTGGTTCTGCGTCAATTCACCTCTGATAGAGGTCGTGGCCCCAACACTGGAGAAGCTGTGTGTATATTACGCCTTCAAGGCTCATTTCTCGGTACCCATGCTTTCAGAGTTGGTTTGGATAGGGGATTATGCCAATGATAGTCATCAGTTTGTCAATGTCAGCCGTAGCCTTCAGCTGCTACACATTAGACGGGATCAAAGATGGGCACCCACGTCCCTGCTAGAGAAATTTAGTCAAGTTGACGAGCTGAATCTGATTATCTGCATTCCGCGGGTGCGTTGGTATCAACAGAATCTCCTCAAAACCAATCGAATTTCTTATGATCCAGTGCTTTACTTTACTTTGTTTCTACTCATGGGTCATGACAGGGAACAGCAGGGTATGAAAGCTTCTTGAGTGAGACAAGCAAGCTCCCCAAATGTAGAACCCTAAACATATCCTTGGAGCGGAAGGGCCATGGCCTGGCACCAAGCATACATTTCTTGAGGAATTGCAGTAGTTTTTTTTTTGGAATAGGAATTGCAGTAGTGTAAAGAAGGTTTCTGTCAGATTGCTTGATCTTGATGACGACTCACAGGTGATTTCTAATAAGCTTCTATCCCCTGTATAAGAATCTTAATTTTAATCGTTAATTGGTTTGACTTTTACTTGTTATGTGAGAACGGAGAGTTTCCTAATCTGCTTTTATCTTGAGGTGTAAATGTTTGTTCTTCTGTGTAACTTAAGTGCACCCTACTTTAGTTTACATTTGATTTGTTTTAGTTTAATTTGCAGCCATCCATATCTGTTAATTTGAATTTGCAACATTATCGTATAAACTAATACTTCTCAATAATATCATTCCTTCCAGATATGGCACTGCACAGTAGCCATGTGTATACAAGTGTTTGTGTGATTGACCCCCTCTTGTAGCAAAATATTTTCTCTTTTGAAAGGTATCTGATGTACAATATGATGACGGCTTAACTACCAATTGAAAACTTACGAATTTTAGTTGTTAATAACTATAATTTTTATTTGTCTTTTTAGTTTTGATAGATTTGATTTCATTACATTCAATCACTGAAGATGAACTCATGCAGTGACGATTACTGTATCCGTTGGTCCAGTTAAAATCAGGACCTGCATGAAGTAAACCCTACTGCTGCTGGGTAAAGTTAAATGTGCCCCTGAGGGCATGTGCTCTTAGCACATCTACCACTGGATTCGCATTGAGAAGTGTGCACACACGTCTCCTCACTGCTGCTGCACTTGAATCAGGTCAATCTTGCCATAGTACCATACCACCAGGGCAGCTTACGTTTCACTAGTTTTCTGCTGCTGCTTGCCTCATGAATTCAACAGCCAATAAGCTAAGTGTGACCAATCAAATTCACGCAAAACGGTATTTGTCTCCGATGTGCAGTGCAGGTGGCAACAACAAGGCATCTGCTTCCTGCTTCAGTGAGATGGCAGGATGATCAGGTTGGGAGGTAGCTCTGGTCACAGCCCAACCTAGCCGCAGTAACAACAACCAGCTGGCAAAGAGCAAACAGGTAAATAAAATTGTAGCAGCAACAACCCTCTGTTCTTGACAACATCCCCAATTATTCCCCATTCTCTAAGCATCTACTGCTTCCCTTTTTAGTTTTTCTCATTGAGACATCCCCAATTCTTGTAGGTTGGGGGCTTGGACAACAAGCTGTTGCTGGATAGCTTATACGAGCATTGATGCCTATGGAAATGGCCATATCATAATGATCCTTCCCCATATGCAACCATGTCGCGCCACTGACTGGACTGGAGATGTTGATGATCTATGGCGCAGGAGCAGCAAGCCATTGTTTGGGATGTCGCAACAGTTTTTATCCTCAGTGGCTCAGTCTGGTGCGGCTTCTCATCAGTTGAACCATTTCTGGCGCACTTTCATCCCAGGGTGGCCCGCCCTCTACATGGCATGGGAAGCGCGCGGCAGCTTGGTCCGATGATGATTTGAGTCTGCTTCCTGATCTGATAATTAGAATTGATCGTCTCCTTACCACTTTGATCTGTGTGCTTATCAGACTATATCAACTGCATTCTTTTGCAGGCAGCAGTGCCGTGTAATAATTGAATACAACTACTGACTACTGTCTAACGGACACTAAACTGATTCTGTAGAAGTGAAGTGGGATGCACACTATTGGTCTGTATGTAATCGGGTCAGGCCAACAGGCAAAAACTAAATTCGTCGCCGTTGGCTGTCCATCAGGTTCAGGCCGAACCCATTCCACGCACACAAATAATCATGCATTGTAAGTTCGTAACACTGTATACTGCAGCCAGACAGAGGAGTTTGTATGTTTTTAGGCTACATGACGCCGCTCAAAGGGTATACCAAGGGAGGAGAGCGGTCCAGCAGGTGGCGGGGCGGCAGAGGGTAGACATAGAGTACGTAGAAATGATCGAACTCTTCGAAGTCTACCCACCTGGTTTTGCCTATCGGCCATTGGTTGTCCAGCACCTCAATCTGGAGCTTCTTCCCTCCCTTGCTGTACCGGTACGCATAGCAGACCAGCGCGTGCATGCCGAAACGACGCGGATCCATCTTGATGAGCATCTCCCGATCCTCGCGGCGGCAGCCCGGGATGCTGAAGAGGGACCCGATGCATGGGCCCCGCTGAAAGATGAGGCGTGCCGCTGTCTGATGCGTGAGGAACTCGTCGTGGCTGTAGCACGTCCAGTCGGCGAGCGGGAGCAAGAATGGCGCCGGTGGTGGAGCGTTTGTGGTGCGAGCACCGCCGAGCTGCTTCAGCTTCGTCAGCATCCGGTCCATGTAGGCGCCCTGCCCCGGAGCCCACGTCCTCCGGAACTTGCCGGTGTAGCTGTTCAAGTGTACATCGCGGAGGCAGGCTACACGAAGCTTCCGGGGCGATGCAGCTCTGCACGGAAATGTTCCTCGCCCGTACTTCTGCTCGAACCTGAGGCGGTGCTGTGCCTCCAGGCAGACCGTGGCGGCGACCAGTGCGCACGTATCTGTACGTTGCCACACCGGCCGGCAAATTACAATCTCATCAACACGATCATATCCACGACCGCATATCGAGCTTGTTGTACCGTACCGTATAAAACTTACCAGGTACGATCTGCGGCATCGGCGATCCCAGTACGTGCTCCCAGATAAATTCTTGGGGCACGGGCACGTCGTCCACCCAATCCTCCTCGTCACCGTGCCGGCACGCGGCGATGATCGGCGGGCGCACCAACTCCTCGCCGGCGTCGTCGTCGCCGAACCCGACCTCCGACTCCGAGAGAAGCCTCAAGCGCCCGAGCTTCTCGCCGCCGGTGTCGCCGAACCCGACCTCCGACTCCGAGAGAAACCTCACGTGCCCGAGCAACTCGCCGGTGTCGTCCCGGAGCTCCAAGAACACATCGGCGGGGTGGACGAAGGCGACGCAGTTGACGACGTAGGTGCTCTCCGTGTCGCCTTCCCCGTAGCAGACGGCGATGAGGTTCATACCCGTCTCCGTCGTCTCCTCGCCGGCGTCCCTGAGCTCCAAGAACACATCGGCGGGGTAGAGGAAGCCGACGAAGTTGCTCTCCTCGTATTCTTCCCCGTATCCGACGACGTCTCGATTCATACCGGTCTTCGTGTGGCTGTGCCGCGGCGGCGTGGCGGACTCGGCAGCGCTTCTTGGTTTTCTTGGCAATCCATCGCTCGGCAGCATTATGTCCGTCCGAAGGTGAAGGTGAGCATCGGAAGGATGGGGGAGGACGACGAGGTAGACGCAGTGGAGCGGGCGCAGAGCTCCCAAGCCGTCCCCCTGGCCGTCGCCGACGACGTACGACTCGCCGTCCCCATAGCCCTGGTGGTCGTCGCAGTCGCACATCTCAATCACAGCCATTTCTCGTCTTCGTCGCGGCTCTGCAGATGCACGGCCTGGAGGAGGTCCGTCTTGCCGGCTTGGTGCGGCGTCGTGTGCGTTTCTTGCTCCTCGTTCCGAGGAGACGAGGAGCGGAAAGCCGGAGAGGAGAGAGAGAGCGGGCGGGCGGGATGGCGAGGCTTAAATAATTTCAGGGGAGGGGAGCGCTGACGGGGCGCAGGTGGTTGACAGATGGGCCCCGTCAGTCAGCCTCGTGTACAGAGAGGGCTGACCGTGGGCCCTACGACGCCGTCTCTCTGTCCTCGCCGAGGGTCTACTGCTCCTGCTGCCACCACCGCTCGCTTCCTCCTCCCCTGCGGCAGCGGCGGCCTGGCGGGCACCGCCTCGCAGTCGCCGCCTCTTTCCGGTGGCATCATGCGCTCCAATGCCCGGTGGCATCATCCCCTGCAATGCCTCCTCTCCGTGTGCCATGCGGCCATGCCCTCGCCGCGCCGGTGATTCACTCCGCTCCGCTCCGCCTCTCTGTCGGGCCCTGATGGCTCCGCTCCGTTCGACCCCTGCGCCCCTCGATGAACAGCACGTCAGCGTCACCCGGCTGCCCGCGCCTTGACGGCTGCCTCCACTAAAACCTCCTGCTACATCCGTAGTCGGCCCGTCTTTCAGGTGCGGCCGCCTACCCGTGTATGCGAATTTGGGTGATGAATTTTGGTAGTATTTTTTGGCAAATAAGTCTTCTGCTGGTTGACGCTACCCGTGTATGCGAATTTGGTTGCCCTCCCCTTCTTTTGTATATGACGACGGTTTCCATGAACTTGGGGGAAAAGGTATAAATACAACTTCTTTGATCGGTTCGTCCTAATGCAGATATTATCTTCAGATGATTACCTGGAAAATAACACCTGATTGAATCCTGATTGGCATCAACTTGTGATTGAATAGATCTAATGAACCATAATTTCGCCTTAACAATTTTATCGAAAACTTTGCATTGTGTTTGAAGGTTTATTGTTTCATATGCACCATATCGATTTGATGTTAACATTTGACTAAACCGTGCTTTTATTATTAGGATGGGGTTGTTCTTGGGGCAGGCACAAGGGCAAGTGAGGGAGTTTTTTGAGGGGGGGCGTTATAGTTGCTGATAAGAACTGTGAGAAGATTCACTTTTTGGCACCAAACATATATTGCTAGATGATCACAACAGTAAAATCTTGATGCCCTTTGAAACTCTCATTTCTTCCGTTGAATTCCTTACTGACATTTGCCTCTTTTACTTCAGACATGCTCAGCTCCCAGCTACAGCTGCACCGTTATGCAACGGGCCGTGAATCAAGAGTCATAACTGCTCTTACACTGTTGAAATCACACCTCTTCAGGTGAGCTCCTCTCACAGTCACATGTACAATTTTCTTGTCATCGTGTCAATATCTGACCCGCTTATGCCATTATGTTAGGTATCAGGGCCATGTCAGTGCTAACCTTGTTCTTGGTGGAGTGGATTGTACTGGACCACATCTTCACACTGTCATTGCTGTGATGACGTCCACTCTCTGTATTATGGCCTGTCAATTGTCATGGGCTCATGGCAGCATGATAGGCCGGCGCTCCTCCTTCCGTTCTTCACCAAGCTCCCTGCTTTTCTTTGATTCTCTCCCCGTCTGCAGCATAGATTTAGAGGTTTTTTACTTGTTTACTTGTAGTGTCAATACTAAGTGAACTAGATGAAGCAAGTTGCTGCTTTGATAGTTGTTTGCTGGTTATGAGCACCTGTTGTGGACTTGTGGCCAGGTTAATATGAAAGTTGACCATCTTCGTCTTTGGTCAGGAACTTTGGCTCAGGCTCGAAAGTTTGATGTTGGCCAAGAGGCTTACTGCTCATGAAGCTATGGTAAGTGTCCGCAAAAGTTTAGTGGAATAGAGATGTAGCTGGACTGAAAAAAAAAAATAATGCCACTTATATGTTTTGTGTCCAAGAAATTGTGTAGTGTTAACAATGTCCGCTGATGCTCCAAGTTAAGGATCTGAACTTTTAGTACTGGTTTTTTAGTGTTAGCTGTATATGGTTTGACATAGTACTATAATGGTAGAATTAGTTCTCTTTGGAGCGACTTGGTGGTTGCGCCAAGGTCGGCCTCGCCATGACCCATGAGCTTGCGACGTCCCTATCGCCACTGTCACAACCATCCACGACGTCCTCCACTTCCCAGTGACCAGTACAGGCTTGCCAGCGCCGTCGCGGGCATCCTCAAGCATGCATCCGACCTTCATGGACAACACCAAGTTCTGCTCCTGCGCTCCACCAATCCCCTTCCTGTTGTTTCCGCCATGGCAAGGGCCTCCTCATCTTTCCAAAGAAAACGCAGATACCGCGTTCCATACTTGCTGCTCCGTTCTTGCCGCCCGTGGACCAGGCCACTCGCCACACCTAAGTTGGTTTTGATACCTTGCTCCCTGCACTGCTAATGCTTGGTCTTTACATGTTTGATGAAATGCCAGTTTAAGCTGATAAACTCATTGTGTCTTTTGTCAATATATGTTGTTAATTGCCTTTTTTTCATCTTCCGATGATTGCACCTTTTCTATTAGACTAGCAGCACGGGGACATTTGAAAGAATTAATATCTGCTTCAAGAGAATTTTCAGCCAATAGTGATTGGATGCCAATGCTAATGGTTCTTGACCAGTGCAACCTATCTGTCTAGCTTTGCATGCTTAATTTCCTATCTGAAGTGTACTTTTTTTACAGGGATCGTCTGTCTGCTGAAAATTTGGTAACCGAGTGAGCTTATGTAATTCTTATCTAATTATTTTAGTTTGACTTGAAGTATATTATGTTGCGATCCCTGGTTCAGACCTTTCAGTAACTCTTCCTCAAGTCATACTTGATGCACGTCCAACTGGGCTTCATTGCTCCAAACTAAATCAAAACTGTTTAATTGCTTTGGATTTGGATAAATAATATATTATGACATGGTCTTTAAGTGAGCTAATAATTTTAATATGGCTATATTTCTTACTGTTCTACCTTCTGCTTCTATATGTAGCAATCAGCAGTACATAAATTGTATGGTCCTGTTAGATTATTGACAGAGCTAAATAAATTAATTAGTTTATATGTGCCATATAAATCTGCTTGAAAGAATATTCACTTTTCCAGTTATGAGTTCTTCATCATTTATCTCTGAAAAAACATCTGACGATAAGCACAAGGTCAAATTTCAGTCCGTCGAACAGCACTCTGCGTGTATGTGATACATTAGGCCAACCTGTTAGTTAAAAATTGAATCAAATGTGATACATATCCCGTAGGCTCTACATGAAGGATTTGTCAACAGATATGTGATGGCTGAGATAACCTACTCGCACTTTTTTCTACCGGGATCATGTAGCCTGCTGCATGGGCCTGGATTACATGTCATTTCACCATTGATTCCTGCCTATATAATACATTGTTGTCTCTGATATTCTTAGACTGAAAGTGGCAAATGATTGTTTGCCTTTTTACAGTCCATCCTTATTGTTTGCTAGCGATTCAACCCCCATTCGCCATACCCAACCTAACCATGCTTCTACATCCCATTAAAGCTTACCTTTCCCTGTTTACTCTCGTGTATAGCAATATGATTGTCATCTTTGCATAATCTCTTTATTGCGCTAAGTAAAGGTTCTTCATTTTTCAGATGTTTGGGTGGCAAACTCCTACGGATCCGATTAATTTGTAGCTTCCCAGCCATCTCTGCTGGCTCCTGGGTGAAGAACAGTTCAGGTACTACTTATTTTCTGTTGTAATGATATTTATGTTATATTTTGTATGCTTTAGATATGAAGCATAAATAATAGGTTTCTCAAATGTTTACGTTGCTGTTTTTGGTGGTGGTGTTCTTGGTAGATCCAAGAAACTAATTATTTAGCACAAGGACAATATCTTCTGTTTTTTCATCATTAGCCAATCTAAATCCTTTACCTATGTGCAAAATTGATATGGATGTATAAAAGAAACATGCAGGCAATTCTGCGACATATTAATTGAGCTGTGCAAGTTCATTTAGTCAGGCTTACACTGAAGTGATAAAGTTTGGCAAACAGAGCACGATTGTCTAATGGCATTCATGATTATCAGATAATTGCCGCTTCATATTTTGGTATATGTCAGTGCTACGGCATGCCATGATCCTCAAATTAATCTATTCTGTGTGTACTGATACATACACAACCAAATATTTGATTGCCAACCTTCCCTCCCTGGTAGTACTTTAAAGTTGCCATTGAAGCATGGCATGTCAGAACTATAGGTAACTGGAATTATTTTACTTATTGCTGCCTTTTTACGTGTCAATTCAGTGCTTTCTACAACACATAAAGTGCAAGTGAATGCTTCCTCAAATCGTTTGTTTCCTTGATTTCAGGCGCCTTTGTTGTTGTTGCAGAAGACGTTCCTGCTAACAGTTGAATAATCAAGGATGGGCATGCTCACATATTGGCGGCTGTTGTTTCTTTGAATCCAATCCAACAAAACAATCGAGAAGATATCGTTCACAGTTTCCAATCCAACAAAAGAACAGACAAGTTATAGCCAGTGTAGTTACTGATCAGTGTGTCTTCTTCATTGTAAAGATGAAGCACGAATGTGTTCTGTTCTGTTCATGTAAGGTTACGTTTGCCTTAAAATTTAAATTTGTATTTGGCAATCCGCTGAGATGTTGTTGAATACATGGAGGAAAATGTCCCTGTTACGATACTGCGTGATCAAATTATGAGCACTATGTTCCATCAACACACAATGTAATAATAATATAATATAATATAATATAATATAATATGCCAAACTTGGTTGTCAACACAGAGTGTGATTCGATGGCAATTGGCAAGGCACGTGCTGACCGTTGTCCGCTAGAGTCTGGCAACACGTACGGAGTCGGTACAGATCGAATTAGCCGACTCGTTTTCAGGTCGGTCTTTCACCCAACTCCGATCCGACGCGACGCGATCACCTCGCATCGCAAGCAATCATATATATCTCGTGTAGTCGTGTTGTGTCCATACTAGCCGCCGCTGGTGAGGACGTACGTGATCGAGGTTCATCCGGAGCCGGAGGATCGATCGGATCGGAGAACCGCGCGCCCCACTCGTCCGTCGCCGTCGCCGTCGCCGTCGCCATCACCCGAGCCGCCGATCGAGATGGTGCTGGCGCAGCTGGGAGAGAGCCTCGTCGGCGCGCTGGCGCGGATGGCCAAGGCGACGGTGGTGGACGACAAGGTGGTGCTGGACTGCCTCAACGACGTCTCGCGCGCGCTTCTGCAGGCCGATGTCCGCTTCGAGACGGTCCGGGCCGTGCAGGCCAGCATCAGGAGCGCCGTCAACCTCCAGTCCCTCGCCGCCGGCACCGACAGGCGCCGCGCCATCAAGCATGCGGTCGTCGACGAGCTGCGCAGGATGCTGGACCCCGCGGCCGGGAGCGGGAAGCCGCCCTGCTTCGTCCCAAGGAAAGGGAGGAAGCCCGCCAGCGTGGTCATGTTCGTCGGCCTGCAGGGCTCCGGCAAGACCACCACCTGCGTCAAGTACGCGGACTACCACCGCCGGACGGGGTTCAGCCCCGCGCTGGTGTGCGCCGACACGTTCCGGGCCGGCGCCCTGGACCAGCTGAGGCAGAACGCGGCCAAGGCCGGCATCCCTTTCTACGGATCCTATACGGAGTCAGACCCTGTGAGGGTCGCCGTCGAGGGCGTGGACAGGTTCAGGAACGACCAAGCTGCTGAGGGATGCGACCTCATCGTCGTCGACACGAGCGGGCGCCACAGCCAGGAGGCCGCTCTCCTGGAGGAGATGCGTCAGCTCGCGGAGGCCACGCGGCCGGACCTGGTGGTGCTCGTCATGGACGCCAGCATCGGCCAGGCCGCGTTCCACCAGGCGCTGGCGTTCAAGCAGAGCGTCGAGGTTGGCGCCGTCATCGTCACCAAGATGGACGGCCACGCCAAGGGCGGCGGCGCGCTCAGCGCGGTTGCAGCTACAAAAAGCCCCGTCATATTCATCGGCACCGGGGAGCATATCGCAGACCTGGAGGCCTTCGACGCCAGGTCCTTTGTGAGTCGTCTGCTAGGCATGGGATACTTGCCTGGCTTCATGGACAAGATCGAGGACGCCATGACGATGCCCATGCCCATGCCTCCTGATCAAGGACAAGGACTGGAGCAGCTTCTGCACGAGCTGACGACGGTTAAAGGAGCCAGCTTCACTTTCACTCTCAGGGCTCTGTACAGTCTGTTCCGGTTAGTGCAGAGCACGGGTCCTCTAAGGCATCTCGTCTCCTTCCTACCAGCTGGATTATTGGGAGACAAGGGGAAGCAGGAGGAGGAAGGGCAGCAGGCCAAGATCAAGAGGTACATGACGATGATGGACTCCATGAGTGCTGCAGAGCTTGATGGGGCCGACCCGATGAAGATGATGATGACGAAACAGCAGCAGTCACGGATCAACCGGGTCGCTCGGGGCTCCGGCAGGCCCGTCAGCCAAGTAGTGGAACTGCTGGAGGAGCACAAGCGAATGGCCAAAATGTTGAGCAAATTCGCGCCTGCCCACGTCAAGAGACCTAACAATAAACATATAAAGCGTAGATTCAACACGTCTTGCTGAAACAAGACAAGCCCAGGAGCCCAGGAGGGGTGTTAATAGCCTAGTTGGAATTTAGAAGTTCGTACTTTGTCTGTCAGAAATCAGATGTCAGCGCTTGCTACTCGGTCGTTGTAACACCCTCGGTGTTACAATGTAAACCATTTGCTAAAACATGTCATTAGCATCGTGTTTATGTGTTAATGCATGTAATATAGAGTGTAGATCAAGTTCCGTAACTCAAAACGATCGACGGAAGTGCGAAACGAAAGTTAACTCCATAGTCATGTTATATCACTTAGGGTTTAAAACCAATTTTTATTAAGCAAAAATGCTATAAAACTTGTATGTGATACTTGAATAAAGTTTGAAGTAAAAACTTAGTAGATGACGATGAAATACCTGCGGTTGAAAAATGATATCACTAGCCAACATTTCTAATAGCTTGGAAATCGAATTTGAAGCAAATCCCACACAAGACTTGGTCAGTTTCTTAAATCTAAAAATAGTTTGACAAAGCTATGTTTGGTAATTTTTGCTGAGAAATTGGGTTAAGGAGTGGTGTTGTATTATGGCTTGTTTTAGTAGCCTAATATACCCTCTTAGGTATAGCAAAGGTGGTTTGGGGATTGGATCAATGGTTTAGATTTTTAGAACGCTTTAAAAACCGTGCACAACATGCTCTCGCCCGGTTTCCTCGCGTGGGCGCGGTCACCGTGCCTTGGGGGCACAGCGTTGCAGCGTCGGCTCGTCCGACTCATGCACACACACACGCGCACCTCTGCGCTCGGCGAGTCGCTGGGGCCTGGTTGGCCTGGCCGCACGTTGCCGTTGTCGTCGCGGGCCCGACGCCCTGGCCGATCCGCTGTCGTCTGGCCGCTCTGCCACGTCGTGTCTCTGCCGCTGTCGTCGCCTCGCGTCTGCACGCCTGCGCTGCGCTGCCTCTTCCTGGCGGGGTGGATGCCTTCCGCACGTGGCCATGCACGCCGTCGCTACGCCATTAATGGCGCTGCAGCGCGCGGGCCATGGCCTATCGCCGACGCACTCGCTCGTCCCTTGCGCTTGGATGAGGGTCCCTCGGCCACGGCAACCGCACCCCGCCAAGATGCACACCAGTCGAATCCTGACCGAGCCCCCGCTGTCATCCCGTCCGCTCGCGTGCCTCTGCTATTCTCTCTGTCGCCGCCGTCGCCTTGTGCCCACGAGTGCGCCAGAGATCGGTCACCTCTATTCAATTCGTCTCGTCTGCACCTGCGCTCTCTTGTCCTCTCATCGCCTGTGCCACCCGCAGCCTTGATGACGGCCGTCCGGGCGCCAATTTGGCGTTTCCGCCCCAGCGAGCCGTTAAGGCCACGCTTGGTCGTGGACGCGGACAGCTCGCTCGCCCTTCGCCCACTGTCCAATTCGCTGTACCACTATCTTCGCCTAGATCTTTCCTTCACCCCACGCACCTCAGCCTAGTTGCTACCGGCTTGCCTTGGTCGCTGACGCGACTGTGTCACTGTAGTGCGCCGCCACATTCCACCGCTGCACGTGGCTAGCCCGGTTCGGGGAATCCTCGGCCAAACCATCACCACAGCCGCAACTAGGGTACGATAGTGATGCTTTAGCATTAGCTAGCTCTCCCCGTAGTGGCTGTGGCTGGCCGGCGTGGTCGCGCCACTGTCGCGCATGGCCGCGCGCCGTGGTCGCCACTTCCGCGAGCTCCGCCGCTCCTGTAACCTAGGCTAGCGTAGGCGTTAGGGTTGTAGACGGGGTTCGGCCCATTAGTGGGGCCGGCGTGGGTCTCGGTTGGCCGGCGTAACCGTCCAGTGTCGCGTCCGTCGTGCCAGCGCGCATAGGGGTGGCCAGGGACCTGGCCGAGGTGAAGGTGATAGATTGCAGGGCCCTATCCGCATAATCTCCCTCTAGGGAAATAGTGTTGTGGACTGTGGCTTGATTCGGTTTTAGTGCGGGAGCATTTTTGCGAAGTTAGCAGCGCGCGCGGGTGACCGAGGCCCATGCCGTTGTAAAGGAGGGAGTTTCTGAGGGTTTTATTGCAAAGTTGCTCTCTCTAGGAATGGTGACGTGGACTGTGGATTAGTTTGTCCAGAGTTTAGGGGCGTTTTGCATATGTGCCGCGTGCGTGCGGGCTCCCTCATCGCGGGCCATTTGTGCGCGTGGGCCGCGTCCCCACGTGGGCCGTGCCTACGGGTCGCACGTGCGCGCGCGCTGCGTGCGGATGGGCCGCGCGAGGTTTGGTTTTTCTTTTTCCAACGAATTAGCAAATATTTTTTTAATTTAGTTTTGAGCTAATCTTTGAAAAATTATAGTAAATTCTGTAGGTGTCCAAAAATAGTGAAACAAAATTTGTTAGGTTCATAAAAATGTGAGCTATCTGTTGGTGTAGTTAGTTTATGGTTATCTGTGACGATGTTAGGTTCATTAATTCGTTTAGGAAAGCTTAACATTATTTAGTTTAATATTTGTAGAATTTTTTGTGACAAATTGGTAATAGTTTTGGCCATGAAATTTTTACAGTAGGTTTATTGTATTATTATGTGCTCACTATAATTTTTGTAGCCTTGGAATATGTTGATAAATATGATAGTTAGTACTCCTTGCTTTATTATATATATATATTAAATCGGTATTAAGAATAAGGATGTCTTTAGTTGCTAAGATAATACATGAAATATTTCATACCTATTTAGTGGGAATAATAGGTAACTTAACATCTTAGTTGGTAGAGCTAGCTTAGTAACTTGATAGATGTATTCTTATTTTAAGAGTTGCTGCTGCCGTATTACTAAGTGTTGCATCATCATTCATGCATGTAGATAACGAGTTGGTAGAGTTCGTGACTATGGGCGAGCAGGAGTACAAGGTAATTGAAGAGTACGAGGAGGAGATTCTCGTACAGGAGGGAGCCCCGGAGCCACCAGCGACTGACTTTGCTGACACCATGCCTGCCCAAGACAAGCCCCGGTGCATAACCTTTATTTTGAATGATCACTAGATATATATAAGTGATGTGCATTTACGTTACATGTATTTTATGGAAACTACATGCATATATATACCTACCTATGAGTCATACTAGCATAGGTCGAGTAGCTGCTATGCTTAGGATTTTTGGTAGCGTGAGTAACCTACCGTTACTTATAATAGGTGATTATTATTACCACTCTCATGATAAAATGGGAAAAGAAAAATAGAGACCGAACAGGGATATGATATGGGTATTGGTGGATGTAAGAGGTTGTGTCCCGCGGTCAACGAGGCATAGCTTGGTTACACTGTTTTCTCTATCCGTGTCGGTTAAGGATCGGTCGTTGCATTGGATTCTAGTCAGGTCAAAGACTTATTATCCTGAGCACATACTTGTTTATGAGAGCATGGAAGGCTCGTTGCTCTCTTGTCGCGGGTTCTGACTCTTTCTGGACCGACTGATTGGAGACGGGGATGGTGGAGGTCTAAGCACCACACTAAGTCCGAGACTCAGGTGTGGGGGCTTGGAGTCCAAGTTTGGACGGGGACCTGGACCCCTTATAGGAGAGTAATGGGTTGGTCCTGCTTGTGCCTGGGGTATAAGCGGGGCGTGTGTTTCGAGGTACCCAGCTGGGTACATTGATTCGCGAATCACCGGGTAATCCGGTATAACTTGTCTACAATCTAGCACTGTAGTAAGAACTAAAAGAAGAAAGATGGTGAAAGAGACCTGATTGCTCCACTCTTATTTGAAAGTAGAACAGGTGCTTACATAAAATGGTTAGCTAATGAACCAATCATGACTGCTAATAAAACACATATATAAGGATTTATTACTAGTATTGCTTTTTGGCAAAAAGAAACCCAGCGAACCATAAAGCTTATCATATCCTTTGGAGTCGGGAAATTATTCCCACTAGTCGGATAAGTCTTGCGAGTACATTGTGTACTCAGGATTTATTTACCCCTATTACAGGTGCAGCTTGAGGAGTAGCTGTTGTGTGAAGGATTCTTTTGGTGGGCACAGACGGATCCTTGTATATTATCGATAGACGTTTATTTTAATTCCGTTGTTTAAATTCCGCACTCTGAACTTGGTACTATAATAATGTATTTCTAAGAACTCTGGTTGTATGAAATATACTAAGTATTGTAAACTCGTTCTCATTATTGGATCTTAGAGAAAAAACATGGATTATTCGAGTTCCTCCTTGGGGTGTGCTCAACGGAACTGCTCGAAGTATCTTGCCTTCGGGGTGCTTAGTGTCTGGTGGAAGACGAGCGTCTCCGGAAGCGTGCTATTTCGGGCGGTTCTGCCACAGTCGTCAGCCGTGCCTCCGGTCTCGCGGGCCCTTTGCCCGCCCAGCTGTTCATCTTTTGGCAATGATCAAGACAACGCGCTGACTACGATCACGCAACCAGAACCGGATGTCGATGTGTGGCCGCAAGCACCGGCCCATGAGTCAGAGATCGTTGAGCCTGTCCTCATGTCGCCCGTGGATGACGTCGCGCGTGCGGTCACGCCCGGAGGCGCAGCCTCAACCATGCCGATCGACACTTTCATTGCTTTCAAGAAGCCGTTGCAGCAGCCTATCCTTTCGTCGCCTCCTAGGCTTTGGATCACAAAGATCCCGGGGGAGGGTGACGATGACGATGAAGGATTTGTCCCCAAGAGGAATGCACGCCTTGCAGCAAAGAGCAAGTTCAGAGCCCAAAACCTAAAGCGCAGGAGGAAGGTAACGATGAAGTGTTTGGGTTTTGAGGTCGAAACTGAGCTGCCCGATGAGGCGTTGTTTGAAGAGTTCCAGAAGGCGTTTGCGCTACCGTTGTCGCCCTCGAAGGAGGCAATGCGCGTGCTTTTCCCTAGTAGGCGGAACTTGCGCGTGCGAGAGTGCCGTGTAGGCCACTAGAGATCCTTGTCTTTGTCGCAGCGTAACAGTGTGGCCGTATATTCCTTTTTTGTAATATTGCTGGTTCCTTCGTCGCACGGTTAATCTCGCTAGTGAGATTGTGCCGATCTGTAACGTTTAAACTCCTGCCTTCTTAATGAAATA